CATTAAATTTATTATCTATCAGTGTCCAGATTTGCACGTGAATTATCTACAGCTTACAGTTTCATTATGTGTTGACATTTAATAATAATGTTAAATTACGTTTGAACTAATAATTGAATTAAGTAACTAATCATTGTTAACAGAAGTGGGGTCTGTTTACATATTGCGCGATGTTCATGACATTACAAAAAGACAAAAAAAAACAAAAACAAAAAAAACGCTATTTTTCAAAGTCATTTATAAATATAAAATTATTTTTAAGCTTTAAGTTTTTTGAGAAAACTTTTTTAAAAATATTTAAAATAAAGCATTCATTATGAGAACGTCTGGGTGAGTTGCTTTCAATCGAAAAGAAGTCATCACATTAAACAGTTAAACAAAGTACCTCGTACATTCAGATAGAATGCTTGAAAAGGGCGACGAACATGGATTTCATGAACCTAGAGTTGCGCTAGTACAAAACCGGTGAATTATATAAAACAGTAAATAGAACTTTAATTTCACAATTGTCACTAGTTTAGTAACATTTTCAATGATATTTCGTACAAGGATATAATTAAGAAAAAGAAGGGGTATACAACCCGGGTCCAACAGGTTGCATACACTCCGGACACAACACTGATTTTTTGTCAATATCTAGGTATCACACCGGTAATTGACCAATCAAAATGAACTAGGTATCACACCGGTAATTGACCAATCAAAATGAACTTAGTCAATTGTAGTTCCATACATAATAAAGAAATACTTTTTTATTATGAGAAATTTTTTAATTTCCCGTATTCTATTTTTACATTTTTGGTATCTGTGCTTAGGATATTTTGTGTACTTGGTTTTTGACAGGAACTATTTCTTTCGGGGCATAGGAGGCCACTTCCTGGGGTGCACACAGGATGTTTATAAACACATTGAATACACGTGGTTTTGAGGGTATTCCTGTTTGCGGATGGAAAAAATCAGAAAATGCCGTGTAGGTACCCTATTTTTTGGTGTCAGCTGATGTGACTGGTAACGTTTAACACTTCCTGTTAAATATTTTTTCATGAATTCGAATACCTGATTTTTAATGATTTTTTATTCTATATAGAATTACATAGTGAAAACAATTACCGGTGTGATACCTTGAAGGTGATTGTGTAAAATCATCTACACCCATATTAAAGGCAGTTTTAATTTTATAAAGGCATATTTCAACAAAATATGTCATTTTATGAACTTTCTGTGTGAAAACACATATTTTTAAATTTAGAAGCAGGGTTGACATTAATTTATACAGATTTCTATGTAAAATACTAATAATATGTCATGTTTTACCCTCAAAACTCCAAATTATGACTTTCAAAGTAGGATTATGCATCTGACATGTAGAAAGAAGTTAGAAAATGTTGGTTTTTTATTTTAGATGACTTTAAACTCTGTGCACCACCTGATCGCAGTCAATTATAGTGTCTACAGACTTTGCCGTAAAAGCACTTTAGGCTGATTTTTTCAAGAAAAGACTAATTCTGGGTTTGCGAATGAGTTTTCAACAAAAGCGACAACTGCGATAAAATGTGAAGAAGTAAAACATGTTTTAAAAAGTGTTAAATTTTACAGACTGGGTTTACTTTCATTTTATTCACCTTAAGTGATTCATTTATTACTGGAGTGAAGGAATAGAAATAATGAAATGAGTTAAATTTGTCTAATAAAAGTAATGTACAAATAAAATTTATTAAGAATTTTTCAAAAATAAGAAGCTTATGACCAAAAATGCATAAATACTGTCAGGGCATGAGAGTGAATACTTATTCTGAGTCCCAACCATACATCACACATTTAGTACAGAATGTCAATTAGCACCATGGTATGCCTGTTATGGTTCTCTAGACTTTTTCCATGCTGACATTCAAGATTTTTCAGTTTGCCGGAGAATGTTTTTTGTCATTTTACCACTTTTATGTAGGTGTTGACCCTCTCTTTTAAATCAAGTCTCAGTCAGGATGTTTATTTTAGCATGATTTGTTAAGCACATTAATGTACTGAAATATTAATAAATTACAAATTAAAGTGATGAAGAAATTTGACATATTTACACAATCAAAATATCAGAATAACCATAATTCAGCTAATAAAGTGCACTGTTCTTCTTCTGTCACTTCCTATAAATTTTATCAGCAGTTTTTGTACACCCACCCACCTCCAAGAATCATGGAGGATGGCCTGATATTAGTTTCTTTGTTGCATTTATTCACATTTAAAAGTGTTAAGACCCATAAAAATGTTTAAGATTTATATTTTTAAATTTAAATGTTGAATTTTTATGTAAATTTGGTGAAACAAAATTAAAGCTGTAAACTTGAATTAATCATGCAAATTCATCAAACACCTTTGAAATTCCTGAGTAATTCAATGAAAAGAGGATAATTATGTATGTTCAATTGGAATTTCATGGCTAATTTGTGTCTGCAGAGAAAGCCAGTTACATAAATCACAACAATAAATTACATCTAAATTGTTTTCTCCATTTTCTTATCATCAAAACAAGTTTAATGGAGTGTCAGAGCTGTCCAGAACCTCCCCAGATGCTGATATCATTTGGACTGCCCTGTGTTACAACACAGCTTTAAGATAAACTTCTGCATAGCAGGTTGTAGACAAGTACCTAGGCTTTATTTGGAACATAAATTGACCAGATGCAGATTTTATTATCAGCTTAATATTTAACAATTTCTGTAAATTCTGTCATTCTCAGGAGGGTAAAATGCAATTTTGTTATGTAATAATTGCATAATGGTCTCAGACTTGTGAATTATTTTTTGTTTGTTGTGAAGAACAGTGCATACACTCTCCACGGATACAAAATTGGTTGCCAGGCTTAGTCTATTAAGGATGAAATTCTGCTTCAAAATATGCACAAAAAACTTCTGTCAGAGTGCTCAGTGTGTATTCTTGACTGCTCTGGAGTAAGGGAGATAAATGCATCATATCTCCAGCAATAATGGGAATTAGATCCCCAGACTTTAGGATGTTAGTGACAGTTATTTAAAAAATCTCAGGTGCAAAAATGAAAAAAATCTGACAACTTCAAAGGTCCTTCAAGGTATCACACCGGTAATTGACCAATCAAAATGAACTTAATCAATTGTAGTTCCATACATAATAAAGAAATATTTTTTTATTGTGAGAAATTTTTTATTTTTTATTTTTTACATTTTTGGTATCTGTGCTTAGGATATTTTGTGTACTTTGTAAAATATTAAAGGTTTTTGACAGGAACTATATCTTTCGGGGCATAGGAGGCCACTTCCTGGGGTGCACACAGGATGTTTATAAACACATTGAATACACGTGGTTTTGAGGGTATTCCTGTTTGCGGATGGAAAAAATCAGAAAATGCCGTGTAGGTACCCTATTTTTTGGTGTCAGCTGATGTGACTGGTAACGTTTAACACTTCCTGTTAAATATTTTTTCATGAATTCGAATACCTGATTTTTAATGATTTTTTTATTCTATATAGAATTACATAGTGAAAACAATTACCAGTGTGATACCTCTACGTTCTATTTCCATTAGTGAACTCTTCAAAATTAGAGGCGCGTTTGGTCGTCTGACAGGGACAGCATGGCGTTGCGGATAATACAAAACATGCCAATCTCAATCCAATTAAATGTATTTGTCATTCCAATTAAAGAATAAAAGAACTTAAAGACATATGTAAGAGAGCGAGAACCCGAAATTTATCATCCATTAATAAAAAAATACGACATTTCCGAGGCATGTGTATTGTATTTAAATGTACCATACGATAAATAGATACATACGACCAACAATAGATATAAATTGATATTGTTGTCATTCCTACTCTTGATGTATATAAAGTCCACAATAATAAAATATTTCATTTGCATTTTCTCAGGATTTGTTCATCGACATTCAACATATTGTTTACATGTTTACGTTATTTTTGTCCCTGAAATCCCGCAAGATTTGTACATTTTCCGACTTTTTCACAAAAGAGCGCACTAAGAAGTACTAAGAAGTACAACTCTTCCATAGGGGAAATAGAACGTATTACGAACTGTTTTATTTACAGACAATTTATACATACGTTTATATAGATAACGTGTATTTAACAGTAATATGAAAGTGATGATAAAGCTAATCTTTGTTCAGATGTTTGATCATAAACACAATGTAGCGTCAATCTTGCCCTGATCCACAAATTTTGATAAAACTAGAAAGTGTACAATGTGAATGGATTCATAAGTATCCATATACTATTTAGATAATCCTTTCTTCCGAAAGCATATGCTTCCCGGCGAAATATATATACATAAATTGAGACATTGGACAAAAAACTTACCTTTACCCCATTTCTATCGCTTCGAAAGCATACACCCTGCGCACAATTTAGTATACACTCCATATGTTGGGATATACACGGTGATTTAGAGGAAAACACATATGTGCAGGCATTACTATTTTATGACAGCATCTAGTTTATAACTCTTATCATTTTTACATTATTTTGCATAACTATAAATTTTATGTTTGTTTTAATGGTGAACTTAATTGTTTGAAATGTTTACTTTTTTTGTAAACTTATTTCTTTATTAATTTATTATCTTTATTATCTCACTTGCTTAGATTATATATATATATATATATATATATATATATATATATATATATATATATATATATATATATATATATATATATATATACGGGAGGGGGGGGGGCATTTATATGCAACAAGGATGCTGTGTTTTTTTTTTCCACACACTAATAACAAAAAACTAAATATGGTATAATTTGTGATTATAATGCACATTGTAAATTTTAGAGAGCTTGAAACTTAAAAATCATGTGAGCTGAGAGATTCTCCATCCCCCTTTCTCCTCCCCCTCTCCCCTTAGCTCTAACCATTAAAAAAGACAAAGCAACAAAATTGATTTTTTCTCCAAATATTTATTAAATAGTAAACAAGTATCTCTTTAAAGTTTATTTGCACAGACAATAAATTACAAAAGTTTAATTGGACGGAATATGAATTTATATACAAATGTGAAATACTGGCGTTTTTATAATAAATAACTGTCATATCATACAAATTAATTATCTCCATTTCCAAGCCATGATAGGTAATATTATCACTTTCTTGTTTACGTACAAATTTATATATAACACAGCCACGTGCAACGTATGTCTGGGACGGAATGAAGGTAAAAATGGTCACACAAGTTAATTGCAGAAAAAAATCTACATGTACTTATGTGAACATATGTTTGCATTAATTTCAAATTATTCACACAATTGGCAAATTCGTAAAAATAATAAGATATAAGATCAAAAGTGATAAAAAAGCATCTACAAATAAATGTAGAAATGTAAATAAAAATAAATCTAGAAATATGAAACGCATATAAGCTTAACACATAGACAATTCTCTGACCGAACTACATGTATTAACGTTTACACTGGGGATTGTCGTCTCCATCATTTAGATCTACATGTATCAAATAAATTAATGGTTAATTTATTCTATAGCAAAAATAAATGTTAGCATAGTATGGTGCACATGAATCTTGAACCAAACAATCTTTGAAAGCAAATACAGGTTCCTTATGCAGCATAGAAATGAATTATAGAAGTGTTTAAAAACTTTATGCTATTGACGTTCTTTCCTTCCTTCTTTTGCTTGTTCTTGGACGAACAGTGTGGACGATTTCGGCGTTTCTTTTTTCAATTTCTTCTGTTAATCCTCGGACCTGATAAAAGCGTAAATATCAAATGTATATACGAAGTATCTAAAATGGTATTCAAAAAATAAATAATTAAATAAATTGAAAACATACCCAAATATAAAAAGTAGCTCCACCAGCGCTGACCATGCGCACTTGATCCAAAGTAAAATCTCGAATCAAATCACGTGCCCCGAGAGCTACATCTAATGGTATGTCATCAACCTTAAGTTCTTGAATTTTCCTTTTGATCGACTCTTTTCCCATCTTTCCCAGAGCAATTTGAACATTTTTCCAATCCTGTAAAAAAAAAACCAGAATTCCCAGTCAGGATATTTGCAGATTCAATTGTAAATTTCAAACAACTGGGAAGAAATGATTCTTTCATGTGACATAATTATCAAAGGAAATAACTAATAGATTTAATATTGACATTACCTATTTTCAAAGCTTGAAAAAAGTTTATGAAAAAAATCATATGATACGTTTTAACTTTTCTGCATATAACCCTGCATTCTTTTTAAAAATATGAATAAAAAATCAAAGGTTTCATCTTATAACTTAAAGCAATAGTCAAAGCAGAACATATCTTAGAATCGACGCATTATTAAACTGATCATCTGATCTGTAAAGTTACAGCTTTGAATTACATTTTGGGTATATGGGATAAAAGCAGATTTCTGTTAAAATTTATGATGATAATTTATATTCCATACGTACATGAACATGGGGGATAGCCATTCCGTACATTTATCAATGGGATCATGTAATATTATATTATAATGTTGTTGATCCTATATCTTTATATAAAATTAAGATGTACGTTAATCTTTGTGAAGTTGATGATATTCATTAATGAATCAAAAGCAAAGTACCTTATTCATGTTCTAGTATAAAAGTTTTATTTAATAATGAAAGATGCGGTGGGATTGAGAATAAGGATTTCTTTGATGCAATAAAAATAGAAAGCATATTCATAAGGGAACAAAGCAATACAATGTACGCATGCGTGAACCCTCACACTTGGACTTTGGAAGTCTGGATCCTTGTAACGCTTCACGATTTTCTTTAAAAATTAGTAATCAAAAGATGTGGTTTTAAAAAGCAAATCAAATACTACAGGTGCAGCATTGTCTGCTCTACATACTATTAACAACACAATCATTCATTTTGTAAAATTAGTGTCCATTAAATTAAATCTTTATATTTTTTTCTTACATTCAATGATTAAATAAGATTTTCTTAACCAATTAAAAGTACACATAAATCTACTGATAAATATGATTAGATAATTATTAATATTAAAAGTTTATATGCATGAAAAATCACCATACACCATGTCTATTCTACGAGAAAGCAAAACAAAAACTGAAAGAAAGTACACAATTGCAATGTACCTCTGTTTCCTCTTCCCAGTGTCCAAGTAACAGCAATGACGCCATCATCACGTGATGTACGGCAGGGGGCGGGTGTTGATATCCTAAACAAAGAAAGGTGACCATATATTTTGTTGAAGTGTATGATTTATGTTATCAGCATGCATTCTAAATAAAATTGAAAGGATTTTATATTGTTTAACAACAAACCACATTTCGTCCAGAATATCATCTACAATACGCAGTAGTGAAGTTATTGAATTTGTGTGTGTTTAATGCATTTAAATGACAGAGAAATAATTATTTACCTTTTAAAAGTTCGATTTATTAAATCTACCTTTAATTTCTGCAATAGTTTTCTGATCCAAGCCCAGGACAGCATGCATCAGTTTGGCGATATTTCGCAGACGTTCCAGCATGGATTTGGCGCGAACAACCTCTTCCACTAATCGGTTCTCGACATTTTTAGTCTTTGTTAGCTGCAGGGCTGACTTAATAGCATCCAAGTCCTTCATATCTGTTCCTTCATTCAATTCTAAAATAAGGCAACATATAAATCCATTTAAGGTTCCGAAAAAGTATAAAGATGCATCTATTTAATAACATTTCAGCAACCCCATTTGAAGAGAACAGTTCAAGATTTGAACGACCAAATTAGTATTTGAAATCTACAATCACTGAGTTTAATAATTAAATACTTAATTTTCAACAATGTTTAAAAATTCGAATAACCTGTGATGTACGAGGGTTGTCGGGTAAAATCGTTCACAACACTTTTTGTAGAAAAATAACACGTGCACTAATCTGAAATTTACAGCAAATGTTTATTTGTCATACTTGAAAACATCTTTTATTTAATTAAATATAAAATATAGACAGAAGTAAGGATTTTATTATACTGATATGGTCCTACGACGTACGACCAAAATCCAGGGTTTCATTCAATAAAAAACGAGTATTGTATTATATAGATCAGGTTGGGGTAATAATTGTAATATTTTTTATCACTATCTATTACGCCGTCATCTGGAAATTTTCAAAGCATATGCTTAATTTTCGACAGTTTTGCAAGCATTTGAAATTGGGAAGCGGTAAATACAACACATAAAAAATGGAGACGTTTATTAACGTTACGGCGCACTGGAGAACAGTTCACTTATATGTAGATTATTAATGACGCCTTTACAAAAACGTCATAATAACAAAAGAAAAAAAATAAAAAAAAATCACTAGATTTTAGCGTACAAGTAGCACGGGCGTTTTTAAGCGGAAGCCATTCATCTAGACCCCGGGTAGAACAAAATATATATAGGGAACAGCTACATGTACTGGGCAACATGGTGAAAGACACAATCACTGCAGACCGTCGAAAAAAAAAAAACATTGCCTAATTAGTTGAATGTAGTGAAAGTACTGTCCATAACTTACTTATACAAATCTTAGTCCAAGTTGTTTGTGCGAGATTGGCCCCTCACCTGTTTAAGGAGGAATAAAGGGAATTTCGAATGTGTGCATCAATGAAATTCCCGAATTTTAATGGGGCTTATGCAACTTTTTTGTTGCATAAATAAAGTGGCATTGCTTTAGACACATGGAAGTTATCATCCGTGCGCCGTAAGGCCATATCACACATAACTAAAATCCTATTTTTTGTTTGAGCATATATCTATATGAAATTTGCCAAGTATATTGAATAAAAAATGGTCGAGAACGCAGCTGATTATTTTTCACTTCAGATATCTTGTCCACGATTTTACCGAAAAACCCTCGTATACACAGGCAATATCCTTTCCGCCAAGTAAACAACGGTTCTTATCTATTGAAACCACTAGTAAGAAATAAAATAGAATATGTTTACCTCGCCGACATCTCATCACATTGAGTTCGTTTTCGCCATACTGGATATCGTCCTTGACAGATGCCAGTCCCAGATTCTTAAGGTCATCTAGGGCCAGTTCCAGGTCTGTCTCGTTCTGGTCCTGTATGGCTCTCTTCATTGCTTCTAGATACTCCGTTATTCTTGCTGTAAACATTTATAATAAAGTGTCAGTAAGTCTATACAAACAAAAACGTCAACTTGTATCATTACATATGTAGTCCCATGGTACATGTATTTATTTCATATACTTTAACGATTTTGTGAATGTAAAAATTTTTGTTATAATGATATATTGAATAAAAATTAAGTTAACGAACAACCAATGTTACTTATAGCTTTATAACGCTTAGTATCGGCAAGAATAGCACACATTTCACTGTAAAATCCTTTTGTAATAAACTTACGATCTCTCTGGACTTGTGGCTCTGGAGGCGGTTTAGGAATTTCTGGGGCTGCTTCCCGCGTTGGCTTTGATTTTTTCTTGTGAGATTTTTTGTACTGCACTACATAATCGAAAACGCTCTCATTTCCTTTCCCACGATTGCCCATAACTTTGATTCCGTAATTTCCTGTTTGCGGCAGCCTTATTTTGTAAGTTACAACATCTCCCTCCACTGTCTCTTCTATCAACCGTTTGGCCATTTCTGGTCGGATTGTATTGCCAGTTAGACTCAGCGAAAGTTCAACGTTTTCCTGGGTCTTCTCAAAAGCAATTTCGAGCACTTCGTCGTCTGTTTCAATCATTCCAGACTCATGCGTCAATGCTCGAAGACCCATAGAATTAAATGCATCTTTTTTTCCAAGACCACCCTGAAATCCACGTGGAAATGCATAGTTTTCTCCTTTTTGCTCTGAGTCAATCATGTAATTGCAAATATTTTTAGTTTCTCTGTCCCGGTCACCCTTCGCATACAGTTTCAAAGCGTACTCCCCAGACTTCGGTGTGTTCACGTTAAATATGACGTCACCATTTTCCACACGATGAATCACATGATCAGGTATAACCTCACTTTCACCTCCTCCTTTCACTAACTCTCCGTGAATTTTCATCTTACTCCAGTCCTTCTCACTGGTGGTTCCAAACCTCACTTCGATCTTTCCATCGTCTCTATTTTTGATCTCTCCTCCAAAGTGACTCATGGGTGCTAAACCACATTCCATGGTGGCTCGGCCAGGCCCCCAACCAATAATAGGACATTCGGGGAAAGGCTCTATTGAGTCATCATCTTTTCCAAATACTAACTTGTATATGGCAACCCAGTCATAATCATAAGTTTTGTCCCTCAATGTAACATCCTTACCAACGAGCTCAAATCGAAACGTGTCGGCAACAGGTGACCGTACTCGTATTGACAGCGTTTCGTCGCTTGATCTCTGCAGGAACACATACCGATCATACCTAAATGATAAAATTTTAAAGATGTTGAATGAATTCACAAAAAGTTTAGTTTAAATTATATAAAAATCAGAAGAAATCAAATACCTAGGGAGGTTTCCTTGGGTTGATTTCATTCGGAATAGAAGATGCTGGAAGTCAAGATTAAGAGACCTTTCTTTTGGCAGCTCAAATATTAGTTCTGTTTCACTTTCACACATTACAACACATTTCTTTGGTTTCTTCAATTTCAAGTTCATATTGAAATATCTGTCTTTCAAAAATGCGTTTTCTGTGAAATCGTCCTCTGTGACCGGATTTGCTAAAAGCTGCCATTGCGATTTACTTGGCAAGTGCGTACTGACCATCTGCTCGGGGTCCGTAAGAAAATAGTTCTCATCACAAGAATAAAACAGCTGCCTGTTCTGTTTATCACTACTCATTTCCCCTTCACCTCTATCCACGACTTCCCACATTTCGTCCTCCGTTCCACCTTCTGCGCATGTGCCCCAGTAAGCGTTGATGAAGCGCCAGTATCCATTTACCAACACAGCGTTCCACTCACCATAGTGTTGTTCCTCATCTAACTTTTCCCCAACTTCATACGTGGATCCTTTCAATTTACCGTGAATGATTATACATGGCAACTGGGCAAATCTTAAAAAAAGAAGAAAAATATCAGTCATGTATTTTTAAATGTGTCTTTCCATTTTTATAGTTAACACTCATTTCGGAAAGCAGCATTTGTAGAAAGACAATAAATTGGTTTCACTTGAGCCTCTCTCACGCTCTGATGACTTACCAAACGCATGACGTTATATTAAACTCATTAAGAAAGTAGGAATATCATAACTGAAGGTACACTCACCGACAGAGAAGGCTAATGAGTTGTGCATAGTTGCCCTTTCTGTGTTTGATTCGCCATAGCTGGAACAAAGTATGTGACTGTGAGGGTTCTTTGTTGGGAATTTTCATGCTGTCCACGGGTTGGCATGTCACCCATCGGTAAATGACACGGACTTTCTGTAGGTCATCCTCTAGACCCTCTGTCAGGTATTCCACTAAGTTACTTAATGGTTGCTTAAGTAACTTGGATGGTGCCTGTGACAAAGAATATTTGAGGTTAATCTTAAAGTTTAAAAGCATGAGAGGGGTTCCAATTTCAACTCGACATTTTTTCTTCAAAATCATTTTAACCATGCATAATTCCGTTTGTGTACTAATTAAAAGGGCATACTTTCCTAGTAATTGGTTACTAAGGAAAATCTTGAAATTTAAATACAATTAAACCATCTATGGGAATGAGTAACCTGTGTTGGGATGACTGACTACATGTGGATCTATATTTCTATGGTCACTGTTTACTTCCAAATCTCAAATGCTTTTTTTTAGTTGAATTCAGTTGAGTTGGTACCGGGAAATAAAAAAGCTAGCAGAACAAGTCTTAATTGTAGTCAAGGTTACTTTTTGATGAAATGTGGTTTCAATGTTTAAGGATTTTCACTTTAAAAATTTCATGATGTCAGTGCCCAAGCGCTGTGGTGTTTGTAAATGTTTTAATTGTATATATATATATATATATATATATATAAATTTATTCACTGTAATCATTGATTTGATCAAATCTGTCAAGTAATGAAAATCATGAAAGTGGAATTGCAAGATATTTGTACTAGTATTTCATCAGACAAGGGCCTATTGAACATCTGTACTGTGTAATTTATACCCTATTTTTTTAAGATCATAATATATTTCTATTTAACAAAAGTCACGGTTTATGCTTATCTCTCACTCAGACTTTTATTTTTTGCTTTAAAAAGTTTTTTTTTCAAACTCGACAGACAGTAGAAAGAAATTGGGGACAGATAAAAACCTTTAGAGCTCGCTCGTCCACTTTTTTGAATTGATTTATGTCGAAGATTTCGCTCTTCGTTGTGGGAGGTGGTACGGGTGGGGGCAGAAGTTTGGCCTTCTCCACATCGTCTGCATAGCAGTGTAGCTCCTCGCATTCCTTAAATGATGGGATCAACTGGTAAGTGGAAAGCAGACGACCCAGCTCGGGTGCAACCTAGAAAAGATAGATAGAAAAGACAAGTTTTAAAACAAACTTGACAGTTATAACCTAGATGTTGTCAATTTCAGACAATCTTGACTATACAAAAATTCATAATTGAGGATATCAAAAAGAAATCAAGAAGAATGAGATAACATCATCTTTTGCTGAGGGGAACAACAGAGGTATTCCAGTCGACCTTGTCAATTGTCAGCAGACATTTTTTGTATTTCTTTGTTTGACATATATAAGCCTACGGAGGTTTGTATAAAACTTCTCTTTCTTTGCAGTAAGATTAAGTAGAATATTATTATCCAACTGTACTTTCTCTTTGCTGATATTGATTTAATGCCATGAATAAAAAGAGAAGTTTGCAAGACATATCTCACGCAAACTTTTTTTCTTCCACTTCACTCTCGGGTACTCAGGACTTTTATTTCAATCAGTTTCTTTTTACGTGTCCTTTACAGGTTTTACATATGTCATCTAAATTTAGAATCTTTTTCAATTTAAAATGTGTACATGACAATTTTGAATTGAAAGATTCAAAATTTGATAGAGGACATTTACCACAGGTTGGTCATTTATATTTTATAAAATAACAAATAAAATATAAAACTTAACAAGTTTTCAAAATTACTACAATTTTAAAGGGAAGAAATCATGTATTTCAAAACAACCATTCCGTGAAAAGCATTCGAATGTCAGGAAAATTACTAGATTGAACATGAAGAATTACTAAATTAAACTTTGGAAATTAAACCATTACAAGCTATATATACTCTCCTTTCTCTTCTTTATATTCAACCATGAAAATGATAATTTGTTTACTTATTTATTTTTTGTTTTCTTCCTAATAAATTTTTTGGGGTATATTCTAAACCACATACACTAACCTTTTTAGATGCCAGCTGTGTTTCGCGTAAAACTCGAACTGAAATCATAACTTTTCCATCTATAATGTTGTATTAACTATGTCACTACAGACCACAAGCGTGCTTATCCGAATCAATTACTTACTTTTTACACGGGTAATAATGCATATTAAGTAAGTACAAATGACCAATCGCTAAGATTAGTCGAGAGGCAGATTATATCAACTCAGTCGAAAAGTACAAAAGAAAGGACTATTCTCTCCTTCTGTTGCACAGATCCTAACATTATATACCCTGAACATCTTTATACCTCTCGAAAAATGACAGAAAGTGATAAATTCAGAATTAAAACGTATTTATTTCGATATATTTCGATTTAATATAATATGCACATCGATTGTTGATTAGCAGTGGTCATATAAGATTAACGTGGACTAGTAAAGCTCCTTTGGATGTATGGTTAACCTTTTCAACTTTCTATCCACGGTTCCAATTTCAAAAATCGATCGAGTATTACAAAAATATTTCGGCGTTTTATTAAAGAACGATCACGCAATCTATTCTTGTAATGTGTTTGAATGTACATTATATAGGTATAAATGTTTAATCGGCTTTACATGGCTTCTGTTCATATAATCTGAACCAGATGGAGTTATGAACAACACCTTTAAAAAGTACATTTGTTTATGGAAGCAATAAGGTTTAACAAAAAGAACCATGGCATTTAGAGAATGTCTTTAAAAAAATACAGACAAGAAGTGCAACACAATATCTTAAAGGATATGCATTGACAGTACATTTGATTTGAGGACCTTTAAGAAACATGCTAAAACTGCATACAAAACATCGAGATAATAGGGGGAAAAACGTGAAGCTCTCGGTCTCAAAAGCAGGACTTCAACATAGATTTGAAGACTGATAAAAATCTCAAATTATCGGAAGTCGATATATCAAACAGGATCCATGTTGTATTTTCATATACAATATATTCCCTAAATGTTACTTTTGCCTTATTAAACTCAGACAACAAAAGATCTATACTCAACCATATTTTAACAAAGTTTAAAATCATTGTTGAGATTCACTGCAATATCTCCGATTATTCTATAAAATGACTTGAAAGTCCTTAAAATGAAAGAAGAATTAGTCTTTACATGTACCTTAGGTTTTCCAAACGATGGCTCTGTGGTAGGGGCCTCGGGATCCCGAGCCTTTTTTGAGGAACTTATCCCCATTATCAACTAATATTTTCTAATATCTCTGTACTTCCAGATAACATCAAGGCATTCCCGGGTTTAATGCAACATACTTCCAACTGTGTTTGAAATTATTCATGTAGTTGTTAAAAAAATTTAAAACGTGCCTCTCAAGTAAACATTGAACACAGGACCTTTAAATCGATATTCGTGACTGGACTAGTTATTGTCAGGGTTCATGTCGATATGTGATAGTAAGGTCTAAAATCAGCTACATAGATTGAGGTTTTTCTTCAACGGGAATTTCCCAAGTGAACCCAAGATGTTGTTTTTCTTCAATTAAATTTGCCAAAGAAGGTTTAAAGTCGTAGGATTACAAAGCCGTGGAATTTTTTTTCAACAAGACCAACGCTAAAGATTGTATTACGGAGAAACAATCTGCAGATGTTGGCACTGCAGATTTCTTATTTTTTTTTCTTTTTTAATTTTTTATAATTTTTTTAAGGGGGGGGGGGTACCCAAAACGTTTTAAATAAAAGTCTTCAAATTGCACACAGGTCCATATGGTCGATCGACAAAAAATAGGATAACATTCTTTTAATACCAGTACATATCTACCAAATTTTCTTATATAACAGAAAAATACACTACTGAAAGAAAAACTGATTAAAATGATTTATTTTCACCAAGTTCTTCAAATAATTCTCAATGAAGTCACACAAGTAATTGACCTGTAACAGAGGATTATTTACTTAAGTAGTTAAACATTGATAATCTCATTTTTATACAGTTCAATAGATATTTCTACACCTCATCTTATATTCTAAACATCCTCCAAATATGGCTGAACTACTGCCGATTCGGCATTAAACAATAAACTATTAATCACATTCTACATATTAATAAAAAACGTAACTTGTCCATCATCAAAGATGGATCGAGTACCCCACACCTACCCCACCGCGTACTACCCTTTCTCTTTACAAACTGAACAGAAAAAAACTTTCACATCCTGTTAAGCATTTGGAGTCTAAGGTATTCAAATGATTAATCTGACACCTGCCTGAAACCTAGCAAGAAAGTTTTATACGTCTGTTCAATAACTTTGCACAATTAAAAAGAAAGCGCTTAAGTGTTATTTAAAAAAACTTTTTAAAATAAATGACATCAAAGATATACAAAGATGGTTCTTTCATAAAACCCAAAATATTCTCTGGTATTAATGTTCCTGTATCATGATTGTATATTGCATTTTTTAGTCTAAAGATTAACCATTACAAAAAAAAAAATGATTCTTTTACATCTTATGAACGGTTGTACTTTCTATCAATGGAAACAAATTTCACTTTACCTTAGTTTTTTTGCCCATAGTTCTGTCTAAGGTCTTAACCGCCTGTATGCATGTTTGGGATAAGTTTTCAGACTTTTTGATAAAGATGTGGCTTATCTGAACTTTTTAAACAACTTCCCATATGTAAACTAACAGGCCATTGGACTATTTATATTTACAATAGCGATACGGAAGTCATATCTCGATACTGTTTGGCTGTGACATGCGAAACAATTTATTACAAAGAAAAATTCTTAAGTTGGTAATAGATAAATTATTTACTCATATAAGTATACATGTTTGAAAAAAATCAATTGAAATGCATGAAAATTACACAGTCACACCAAGAAGTCTCTGACGAGAGAGTAGCTCTACTGGTTTTTGCTTAACAAAGGTTGAGAAACATAGCACCTGGACTTGAAACTATGGTCACAGCAATAAATAAAATTACGATCCTTGGATCAGTATCTTTCTGAGTCAAATTTAATTGGAATTGGACAAAAACTGTCGTAGGAATAGCATTTTGAAAGAATTTCACAGAAAGAGACATAGCGCATTTGATAGGCATTTTCACCTACTCTAGAACTGATTTCTTATATACATTTTTTTAACATTGTTTTAACCAAAATTTTGTCAAACAATCTTAGTTTATACATGTATAAATTCAAACTACACAATAATGATATTTAAATGTAAATAGTTCCCTTATATGATAAATATGAAAACCATCGAGTTTGTATGGAGTATGTAGTAAATATATAGAGATATCCTCCTAAACAATGACAAACTGTTGCTAAAGACAACGGTTTTCCCTTAACCAGAAAAAAAACAACTTTTGAATAACTTTATCTGGATACGTTAAATACTTCATACCATTTAGATAATCTTGGTTAAAGGTGATCTTCATATTAAAAATGATGAAAATATATATATATATATATTCAATTTCTCTTCTCATATTATCTTGAGACTTAGCAATCAGTCTTAAATTAATCCACTCGACATCAAAGACTTTGTGGCGCAGTGCTGTGATTACTGGAATGTAAATGTGGTGATTCCAAGTTCGAGCCCAACATTTTCCATTTGTGCCTTTCTATTTTTTTTCTTTGTGTATCTTTTCTACGTTTTCTTTATTATGTTTTATAATATACATAATTTTATAAAGTTATAATACACACATTACACATAAAAAGTATCTCAGGAAAAGACAGTCCTAAACTATTTCATTGAATTGCAAATTCATAGCTACTTGTTTTATATCTATTGATTATCTAAATCTTTTGTCTCAGAATTAGAGTACTGAACATGTACAATAATTGTTATGTGACCTACTTGCAACTATGAAAATATAACACTCGTCCACAAATGATATTACATAGGTTGATCTTGAATTGAATAGGTATATCTATAAATAGGAACAGGTGATTTACTTTCAAATTCTTGAGTCGGTAAGGCAGCTATGGCTCTTTCTATTTTTAACAAGCATTCTGAGAGTATTGCATTACAATGTAGCAATACTACTCTCCTACCGGCAAGTGTAATCTGGTTCCCATTAAAAAATAAAAATGCTGTAATTCGTCAAAATTCATTGAAGCGGAACATAATGCAAACTTGATCTGTAACTCATCAAGATAAAGTCACAAACCAAAAATCAGCTCGATATCTGAAAGCGTTTAGAAAAAAAAAGTGCGGAAAACCATTAAAAATTAAAAAGGCCATAATTCCCTCAAAAATCAATGAAGCGGAACGAAGTTAAAACTTGATTTGTAATTCATTAATATACACTTACATACTAAAACTCAGCTCAATATCTGCAAGAATTTAGGAAAAAAGTGCGGAAAACCAAGTGGGACAGACTGACAGACAGACAGAGGGACAACTAGACAGACAGACAGACAGACGGACGGACAGACTCAGAGGAAACCTATAGTCCCCTCCGGTTTCACCGGTAGGGGACTAATAACCATGGCAACACCAATCATCAAATCCCGATAGAAACAATTTTGTATCTTGGTTAGTCTTTTTGTGTACGAAGATATTTTGAAATTTGACCAAAACTGTAGGAGGAGTAGCGTTTTGAAAGAATTTCACAAAAAATTCTATTTTTGGTAACCATGGTAACACCGTTTACGAAATCAAAAACTTGTAAAAAGGATTATGGATTTTAGTGTAGTCTACTTATGTACAAAGATGTATTGAAATTGGACCAAACCTTCAGGAGGAGTAGCGTTTTGAATGAAATTCACAGAAATTTCTAATTTTATTAACCACCGTTTACGAAATCAAAAACCATTAAAAGGATTATGTATAGTGTAGTCCACTTGTTGAAATCGGACTTAAATTATAGGAAGAGTTACTGTAGCGTTTTAAAAGAATTTTCAATGTTTAATAACCATGGCAACATCGTTCATCAGAATTAAAAAAAAACTGATTAAAAGAATCTTTAGTAAGTTATATTGAAATTGGACCAAATCTGTCAGAGAAGTAGCGTTTTGAAAGAAGTTCAATGAAATTTCTTTTTTTTTAGTAACAATGGCAACGCCGCTCATCAAAATTAAAAACTGATTTAAAAGAATTGTGTATCTTAGTGTAGTCTACCCGACTACCAAGTGATATTGAAATTGGAGCAAAAACTGTAGGAGGGGTAGCATTTTGAAAAATTGTTTACAGACAGACGGACACCTTAATATTGCATAAGCTGTAGTTGTAGTATACGTTTACATGTGAGGCAGAAAGCAAGATCAATTGTTTCAATTATTTCTTGAAAACATATTAATGACAGTATGTTTATTATATACACATAAATTAAATATCAGCAACCTATTAACCCAGAAAAAATATGAAATTCTTACATGCATATATTCGAAGTAAAATTTTGCCATCACTTTCAGACCTTAGTAGAGTGAACAAAACTGAAGATAAATTAGATTTTTAGCTCACATGAGCCGAAGGCTCAAGTGAGCTTTTCTGATCAAAGAGTGTCCGGCTTCCGTCTGTTGTCTGTCGCCTGTAAACTTTTCACATTTCCAACATCGCAAGAGCCTCTGGGCCAATTTCAACCAAACTTGCCATAAAGCATCCTTGGGTGAAGGCAATTTAATTTTTTTTTTACAGAAAGTGCCCTGCCCTCCTCCAAAGGGAGATAATAAAGAATTCGTGAAAATTTGGTGGAATTTTAAAAATCTTTTTCTCAAGAACCACTGGGCAAGAAAAGATGAAACGTATGTGAAAGCTTCATTATTATATACTCTAGATTTAATATCATAATCCCCGGGATAGGGTGGGGCCACAAGAGGAGTACATAGGAATATATAGGAAATGTCTTTAAAAATCTTCTTCTCGAGAACAACAAAGCCATGGTTAGTCATATTATTATAGAAGTATCCTCAAGTAGTTTAGGTTCAAGTTTGTTTCAATCATGACCCCTGGGGGTAGGGCAGGGCCACAACAGGGGGTCAAAGTTTACCATAGGAATATAAAGGAAATATCTTTAAAAATCTTCTTCTCAAGAGCAGCTGAGTCATTATTAGTCATATTAATATAGAAGTATCTTCAGGTAGTGTAGATTCAAATCATGACCCTCGGGGGTCAAGGAATATAAAGGAAATATCATTAAAAAAAATTCTTCTCAAAAACAGCTTAGCCAATAATAGTCAGTATCCTCGGGTACATGTGTAGATTCAAGTTTGTTCAAATCATGACCCCCTGGGAGAGGACGGGGCCACAGCAGTAGGTCAAAGTTTTACATAGGAATATATAGGTGTAATGCTTAAGGGGCATTTGCATAAGGCGCATTGAAGACTTCAAATAGTGGAATGACCTGACAACCCTTTGAATGGTCTAGCCAAAGGGAATATAAGACAAAGCTTTGGGAAAAGTCGGGCATTCAGAAGCTAGCTGAAGAAGTTGGCCGTTGAATCAGCAATAAAGAACTTAAGGGTAAGAGCAAAATAAAAGTATAAAAGTTATAAGCACCAGTGGCAAGTATCCTAGAGAAATGATGTTAAGTTCTGGGTATCTGAAGAAATTGAGACACCCAGTCTTATCAATCAATAGGAACCTTGGGGAGAAACACAGTGCAAGCAGTACCTCACCCAGTCCCCGCCTCTAGATAGGAGGAAAATTTTAGTACTGTGTGATTTACCCTCAGACAGAGCGGTCTTTAATCAAAGACATTCCAATCATTAACTCAGACTGAGTAAAAGGAAAACCTATATATCCCTTGTAGGTATTATTCTATGTACTTTTTACACAGTGCATGTTTTGGTAACCGATAATTTAACTTAATTATTTTGAAATGAAATTAATAAATGAAATACATGTACTGCTGTCTTTACAAACTGCATGTTTATTAATTATACAATTTAAGCTGATAAAATGATAAAAAAACAAATCAATTTTTTTAACTGTCAAACACAATCAGCTTTGACCCTCTGTTGTGACCCCCCCCCCCCCCCCGATTCTACAATACTTGAGGTTGCTTCTATCAATATGACTAATAATGGCTTACTTGTTCTTGAAAAGATTATGAAAATTATTTCCTATGTAACTTTCTTTTTCAGCTCTCTCTAAATCACAGACATACACATTGTAAAAGTTTATTTTAATTTCTAGAGTCAAAGTTTTACATAAGAATATATAGGAATCAGCTTGAAAAAATCTTCTCCTCAAGAACAGCAAACCCATCATGATATGTCATATTATTATAGAAGCATCCTCAGGTAGTGAAGATTCAAATTTGTTCAAATTTAGGGTGGGTAGGGTGGGCCACAACGAGCGATCAGAGTTTTACATAGGGAAAAAATTCTTTGAAATTCTTCTGCTCAAGAACAACAAATCCATGATTAGTAATATTGATATGAAATCATTCTGAGATAGTGTAAATTTAATTTGCCCCCCCCCCCCCCCGTAAACTTTTCAATACTAAACTGATTTCTGCTTTTTCCCAGCCAATGTGCTCAGGTGAGCGATGTGGCCCATGGGCCTCTTGTTTGGTAGGATGGTTTTTCCAGGTGATGTAGGTCAAAGATATAATGCAATATCAATCTATGTCTTTTAACCTACAATACCAAAATTATATTTTAAAACTCCTTAAACTGTTTTCTGTCAGTTTATTTTTTCACAAACAAACCACCCTGTTTAAGTATGAACACATCATAACTCTCTAAACTTCAGATAAGAGAATATTTACACCCTTCATTTAAATGTCAAAAGAATTGCATAATGGGATACCACTGTATATTTATTGCGCTACTAGAGACCTGTGAAATTCCTCCAATCAAGATCAAGTTAAACGTATAGATTTTATACAGTGCAAGGAAGAAGTCCAAAATTAATTTTTTCAGTATGGTCCGTTAGCCGAACCAATCAAAAAACATTACACTAGGATATGATTCTAATAGTGTGTCGCTTATGTTGTAAGATTCTATTACAAAATATATCATAATGGAGTAGGGTAACATATACATGTATTACCTTATTTTCTCGTGGTTTCTCGCCATTTTGTTTCTGGGCTTCTATATCATGCTCCTGTAAGAGAAGAAATTAGATTTACAGTGAAGAGAAATCTTTAATGAGCAGAATATTGAAGTCACCAGCAGAAATAGTTTGTCACCATCACAGGATAGTTTAACTTACTTAAATTAAATTAAGTGGCTCCATCGGAAAGTTTTCATACATTTTAAATTTCGAAAAAAAAGTAAGCAAAAGAGGAGTTTGCACATGCATGTAAGATAATTACAAAGTCGTAGGAACCGGGGGGTGGGGTGGGGGCGTGCCCCCCCCCCAATAATTTTGCCGATATAGAGATTACTATAGTAAACATAGATACTATATGCTTGTGCCCCCTCAATAAAAACGTCTGATGACCTTTTTTTTTTTGCTTGTCAAGGAATTTTTGGTAGTTGATGCCTTTTATTTTTTGCTTGTCAGGAAATTATTGGTAGTGTCCCCTCAACAGTCAACTGAAAATGTACGGCTGTGCCCCCCCCCCCCAAACTGAATTTGCTTCCTACGGGCCTGAATTACTTATATTAATAACTACAGTCAATTTCACACACACGTATCTTGTTTAAGAGATTTGGTGATTTAACGTGCGTTTTAATAAATTCACTTAACATATCAGAAAAATATACAGTTAATTCCATATGGGATTAAAAAAATAAACACCATTATCATTTGACTGACACGCTTGAAATATCAACAAAAAAATTAATCTTTTGATGCCAATTTGCTGGGTCACTATGCAGTAGGTTATAGAGTGTTTTTCCCCATACCTATCAGCGGAATTTTTCGTCATCTGAGTAAACGGCACCCCTAAATGGAAATGAAGGTAGGTTTTTTTTGGTAATTATTTTTTGAACTCATTTGCATTGATGAAATTTAACTGATTTCCCTCGAGTCTCGACTTGACAGAAAAGGCGATGTACTTCCAAAGGCAGAGTTATTCCCCCACATTTCCAGACTACATGAATGAAGAGGTTACTAACAGTCAGCGTAAAAGATAACCTCCTCTTTTTAAGATTCCTCTTGTTCTCTCTGCACATCATGACCCCATATTCTCAAGAAGTAGCCTCTCTTTTTGCAAGTTTTCATATATGGCCTATCAATTTTTCCTTCATATTTCTTAACCAGCTCGTGAATTGTAACTATTGAAAATTTTATACACGTGCATGTAAATGACGCGATAATTTTTCCTTTACTATATAGTCCGTGGTCAAAAATATTAAAATCCTATAGTCCGTGGTCTTTGATGCAAACATATTAAAATCGAAAGCTCAGCTCCTATTACGCTGCCTGTTAATATACTGCTTAGCAGAAACGAAAAAAAATGATTTATAACGTGACCTAGCTGAGATCATGGTTTTGTCTGGCCCAAAAATTGGCCTGGTCTCAAAAACGGTCTAGGATTTTGCTTAAACCAAACTCTAAGCCAAGCATCAAATACTGGTCTCAGATTAGGTTTAATAGTGAAATCAAGGTCATATGGAAGGTCAAGATTAGAAAATTTTAATACAGTTGAATAGCTCTTATCAATCTGTATCTTTGTGTGAAATTTGATAAAAATATTTTTAACAGTGTCTTTGAAACTATGATAAATGCAAAATGAGGAATGGTGGAAGAGTCAAGGTCATAAGAAAGGTCAAGGTTGGAAAATTATGACACGCCTGAATAGTTACCACAAAAATATTTCGACTAGCGAGTTTTGATTAAAAATAATCTGAAAAACTTCTTGTAAACTTGCTAATTTAATTATATCGAGGTCAAGTTTATAGGATAAGGCAAGGTCAGAAAATTTTGACGCAATTTAATATCGCTCATTAATTTATATCTTTTTATGATGTTTATTGAAAATATCTTGAATAGTTAATATTAAATTAAATGCAAAATGGGGAATAATGGATCAAGGTCATACGGAATGTTAAGGTCAGAAAATTATGACGTGATTGAATAGCTCCCACCAGTATGTATCAATGCATATGAATTTTGATAAAAGTATCGTGAAGTTTATTTGAAATTGAGCTAAATGTATAGTGTAATGGGCGGACAGATGGAAAGAGCTAGATAGGCATAAAAAAAAAATCAGGACTATAAGTGAATCTGATTGATTCGTGATATTATTCTGACAAATATTTCGAGGCAAAAATTGCTTCCAATCCTAGGGTCAGGTCGAGCTTTGTAGTATGCTTATAAAATATTTTAGCACAAGATAAACACATATCTGTAAGAATTCAATGGACATTTTAGCGGATATTTTTTCACAGGTAAATTTATCATTTTTTTTTTTAAATATTCAATATAATATCAGCAAAAATTGACCAACTTAAAAATTTCTAAGTTCAACACTTTAGGAGAGGATTCAGTAGCACGGGCAAGAACTATTTAATAAAACTCAACTCATATTCCAGCAGGTAAGTACAAGTCATATCATTTGTAATTGTAATACTAAAAAAATTATGGCAGCAATACAGATACAGAGCCAATACGGAGATATGAATAATATTATTAAGGATACACAAAAAAAAATTTCTTCAGAAATTAGCTATATATTTCATAGATTTATACTCATATAGGTAACATGAACAATATTGGCCAGGGTAAGTGGAAAACAAATTTGTAAGACTTTATTATTAATAATGTTTAAAAATGTGTGTGAAAATTTGCATAGTTTTACACAGAAAACGGCACTAGTCGCATATTTCAGCACCAATGGAGACTTTCGATTTCTTTATATTTGAAGGATTTATTATTTATGTCATTTCCATCAGTCAAAAAATATATATATCAATTTATTTATAATTTTTTTTTCTTTGTGTTATGTATCCTCAATTTAAATCTGCTCAACCCCCCCCCCCCCCATCCCCTCCTTTATGCTTTAGGAAGTTTGCAAAAGAGATAACTCTAAAATTAATTTCATAATTTTTTTCGTTTAATCTTTTTAATACCTTATGACGCCCTTCGTGCAGATAATAATGAAATAGATAACCATGCATTTAATTTAAAATGGCACCACCTATCTTATACTCTTGGGGGTAAAACTAAGAATCCTCATGCACACTAAAGATTTATGATTCTGTGGAATTTTTATATACATTAGAGTAATCTACCCTTTGATCTAAATAAAATATATTGAAATCTTCAGTGTATTCAATTTCAAGCCATTCTTAAGATTTTTCAATAAGCCAACATAAACTAACTGAACACTTTATTTTTTATTTATATTCCCCACTTAAGTAACCAACAAGGTTTCTGTTCAAAAAATATACTGCTGTCTTTGAACAAATTTTCTGGACATAAATAAATATGTTGAAAATTAAAAAAAAGATAAGTTTTATACATGTATTTATACAATATACTTTAGACAATATACCAGTAATATTTTCAGTGCGTAATAAGCATGCTCCTCTAGTGTGTAGAGGGTCCTTGGGTTCATCACTACATCTTAAGAGTCTAAACTACAATTAACGACCTTAAACCAAAGTCAAAACATATTAGTTTCAGTAAATGTTTTACATTCGTGCTTGAAGAGCTTGGGGCAGAAAATTTACTTTCATACATTTTTAGGTCACCTGGGTGACTCAGGTGACCTATTGCTATCTGTTTTCATCCGTCGTATTGTGTTTTGCGTAGTGCATTAACATTTAAACATTTTCAGCTTCTTCTCTGCATGGAACTGCTGAACCTATTAGTATTTCAACCACTTTTGACAGATATAGCATCTATGAGTGAAGGAGAACATTTTTTTTTTTAATTTCATGGACCAAGTCACCCTGGGGCCTGAGGCTTGGGGCTAAAATCACCAAAATTAATGCAATATTTAAATTTTATTCTTTATTCTTGGACATCAAACAGTCAAACTGTTGGCAATCCTCTACCAAAATTGTGAAATTCATGGCCCCAGGGTCAGGGGTTTTGGTGCTAGGGCGGGGATATGTTGATCATATAGTGAAAATGCATTGTTTCTTTGAAAAGTTTCTTCTCTGCTCCTGTGTATTAAACAAACTAAGTACATACTAGTAGTTATGATGAGCAAGGGTTCCTCTTGAAAAATTTGGGGATTTTGGCTAGGAGTGAAACGGTTCACCGCGGTATCGATTCACCGCGATATTTTTTCTCGGTTTGATACACGGTGCAAAATCTCTAATTTTCGGTTCGGTTTATTTTTCGGTCGGGATCGTTATTCAGTCGGGTTTGGCATAAGGTAAAACACGTTACTCAGTATAAATAAGTATAGGAAACGTAAATTTTTGATGACTGATAGCTTGTAAAATAATTTTTGACAGTCAAATAATTTTAATCAATTTCTTCTAGTCAATTTGCAAATAAAATTCGTAAAATATGTGACTAGATTTAGAAAAAGAAAGCATAAAACAACGTTGAATTTGTTTCCTTCTATCAAAATGTATCGTATCGAAAATAACCGAACCGAGACAAAATTATACAATACGTATCGAACCGTGAAGGAGGTGTATCGTTTCACCCCTAATTTTGGCCCCAGGGCGAGGGGTTCTGCAGGAGAGGGGCTCTATTGAATATTTAGTGAAAGTGCATTTCTTCACTGGAAATCTTCTTCTCTGCTCTTATCAATTAAACAAACAAACCAAGTTTATAGTAATTATTAGTAAGTAAGAGTGCCTCTTCCAAAATTGTGAAATTTATGGCCTCTGGGTCAGGGATTCTGGTGTAAGGATGGGGCTCTATTGATTACATAGTGAAAATACATTAATTCTTTGAAAATCGTCTTCCCTGCTCCTGGCTATTATGTAAACAAAATAAGTATATGGATATAAACAGCAAGGGTGCCTCTTTCATTGTTGTGAATTTCGTGGCCCCTGGGTCAGGGGTCCTGGTGTGTATGTGTGTGTGTGGGGGGGGGGGGTGGGGGGTGGGGGTGGGGTCTATTGATTATATAGTGAAAATGCATTAATTCTTCGAAAATCTTCTTCCCTGCTCTGGGTATTACATAAATAAACTAATTAAATATATATGGTCATGATCAACAAACTAAAAACATGGTTATGATAGCAAGGATGCCTCTTGAAAAATTGTGAAATTAATGGCCCAGGTGAGGGGCTCTGGTGAAAAGGAGGCTCTATTCATTATATAGTGAAAAATGCATTAATTCTTTGAAAATCTTCTCTGCTCCTGGGTATTATGTAAACAAACTAAGTGTGTGGTAATGGTTATGATAAGCAAGGGTGCCTCTTCCAAAATTGTAAAATTCCTGACCCCAGGGTCGGGTGTTCTGGTGAAAGGGGTGGGGGAACTGTATCGATTATATAATGAAAATGCATAATTTCCTTGAAAAAAATCATTTCTGCTGCTCCTGGTTACAAACCAAAGAAACTAAGTGTATATTTATGATGAGCAAGGGAGGTCTTCCAGAATTGTATGTTTCATTGCCCCTGGGTCAGATGTTCTGGTGAAAGGGTGGGCTCTTTTGCTAATATAGTAAAAATTTATTAATTCTATTAAATAATCTTGTCTGCTTCTGGGTATTGAGCAGATAAACAAAATGTATAGTTATGATGAGCAAGGGTGCTTCTTCCATTTTTTTAAACCTGTGGTCCCAGGGGTTCTGGTGTTTCCGGAGGGGGGGGGGCTCTATCAACTTCAACTCAACTTAATCTTCAACTACGTGCATACGATGTGACAGGTTATGATATTGGATTAAAATTAGTACCAAAGAACTATTGTTTTTTTTAATAGTCTGGATGGTGATAGTGATAAATGGGGGCAAGAGGAACTTGCTTTACGAGTTGTAACTGAGTACTAGACTAATTATTTCGTTGATCCTGATCATCCTATTTCTCTTGCTTTGGGGTAATAAAGCTTCTTATATCAGTTTATTTTATGCTTCTATGGATCCTCTAAATTGTATTATACTCAGATGACGATAAAGGTCCTTGGGCCTCTTGTTCACCTAGCTGTCGTTGTCCACCTTGCGAAAACTTTTTATATTTCGATTTTTTTTCTACAATCACAGGACCAACTGATTTTATGTATGGGGACTTCAGTTTATATATTTGAAAACCATAGTTATCAATTAGGAAACTCGATAAATTAACTAGTAACTTACAAGTTACCGAGATCAACATTCTTCACTTGACCAAAATTTATTTATTTATTTATTTATTTATTTATTTATTTATTTTTTTTTTTTTACAAATTTCTGATAATCAAAGACATAGGCCTACCCTTTCAAATTTTCTTGTTTAAAGAACTATCCATAGAACTTTGAAAAAACACCAATAAATCAATATATACAGTAGTGTGGTTTGTATAAAACTCAAAATTAGTAAACCTTTTGAAGGGGAAAGTAGAAAGAGATTCTTTTATAACCACATAAATAATATTGTTCGGTTTACAAGGCGTCCATTGAAAGAACTTCTGCACTCAAAGCTCGTCTTTTAATATTTACTTATCAATTTTAAATACCATTGACATATTTAACAGGTTAAACTTTTATTATTATACGTAACGATTGGACGAGCAGAGTCTCTTCCGCCTTATCATGTTCTCTTTACGTTCACTTAAATTGATTTGTGTATACTTGATTCCTTGGACCTTTTAAAATTTATTTTTTTTATTTTGGCAGATTGAACATTTATCCAAATGTTGTACCAAGGTTGTTTTTTTCTTACGCAGAACTTCAACAGGACAAAAAAAGACATGGTTACTAAAATTTTTCTTCAAGTATGTTTTTCTACAAATAAAAACTGCGACTTTTATCGTTTTTCAACGCAAAATAAAACAAAGTCATGTGAGGGAAAAAAAAACTATTTGCAAATACACCTAAATTTCTGCTTCAAGACAAAGTCATGCTGTATTTACGGAAAAGAAAGGAAGTGGATTCAAGAAAATTGCCATAATCAGATCAATACAAGAAATTTAAATTCCACACAGGAGGTTTTTTCTTTTCTTCCTGGGGTTATTTTAAAGGCAGAGAAATTCTACCATTACTAAAAGGTAAATCGGATTGTTCTCGCTGTATATTGGAGAACAATTTAAAAGCGAAATGTCTGGCTCTCTGACCTTAATTTAACTGTTTAAATATACAAATCATTCCACACGTTTTTATTATATAATTACAGTCATAATATTTGGAATAATGAATCGTTTTTAAAAAGTATGAAGTACTCTTTGATCTTAAAGGGTCCTTTCAAGAAAAAAAAATGTTATCATAAGTGTTTTTTAAAATTATTGAATAATTTACTTATCAAGTCCCCTATGTCGTTTTGTTTATGTCAGAGAGAGAGAGAGAGAGCGAGGGGGGAGAGAGAGAGAGAGAGAGGAATACAATACCTTGACACTTATTTTTGAAGATCCACAACCCATTTGAATCATCACTTTTTAACCCAGCTAATAACATTCAAATAATACACTCAATCCTCTCACTGAATGATCAGCAATTTATATGACCGTTACCCATCATAACAGAAAATTACTCTCTTTTTACACGAAAAAGTTTTTAAATGGACGCATACAAACGTGCTCTAATAGCATGCAGTGGTTTCTATTTTGTTAGTAGTTAATCTTCCGTTGAAAAGAGAACTTTCAAACCCTAAATCTTATTTGAATGCAATGAGATAATGACTAATTCATTGTATTAAGTCAGTAAGCAACTTAAGATATATTATGTAGCATTAGAAGAGTGTCAATGTTTGATTTTGTTTTTACTGACGTGTTAATCAATACAATCAACGAGAAATCTTCAATGGGAGTTCCCTATCTACACTAAACCTAGATCTAATCTACCAGTTACCAAAAAAAAAAAAAAATAATAAAAAAATAAATAAAAAAAAAAAAATAGAGAAATTCATAACAAATAATTTGTTGTAAAGAAACCAAAACTTCTTTGCACTGTTAACTTCCCAAAGTTAAAATTGAGTACCTTTTCAATTGCATGACTTTAATTTACCCGTTTCTTTAATTCATGATCCCCATCTCTCATCATAAATCAATTTTATTATATTTACAAATTAATTAAACTGAAGCTGATACTGTCAAGAATAAAAAGTTGAAATTATGAATAACAGGGAAGAACAACTCATGTGATGTATCGGTAAAATTGAAGGAGACTCGTGGAGCATATTGCTCATCTGTGTACCCTTGTTGAAAACACTGACATTCAAACGAAACCATTTCTTTTGCTCAAAACATTTTTCAAAAAATAAAGATAATTAATGCCAAATATGTAGCCCCCCTCTTCCCCCCGAGTATTCCTCATTACCTTATATACTCTGTTATATTTAAAAAATATATCCTATCTATATGATAAGTTCCCACTCCGATTATGGGCCATTGATTATTTGAACATACTTAAGATGCTTGCAATCATGCAATGACCTTAGAGATTTAAGCCCTCTTACTTTTAACAGCTTTAACTTGTTTCATTCATCTGACAAACATGCTAAATGCAGCATCAGAAGCATGTTTGATTGTAGCATCTTAACTGGCATTACTCAGGCCCGTAGGAAGCAATTTCAGTTTGGGGGGGGGGGGGGCACAACCATACATTTTCAGTTGGGGGGGGGGGGGCACTACCAACTACCAAAAATTCCTTGACAAACAAAAAAAAGTCATCACACTTTTTTATGGCTATGTTTTCTATAGTATTCTATATATTGGCAAAATTATTGGGGGGGGGGGGGGCGTTCCTACGGCCATGTTACTTATGCATATTTGAACTGTAGTTTTTTGATAAAGGAAAGCCTTCAAAGACTTGTCAAGAAAATATATGACAAAAGCAACATCTCAAGCATAACTTATTTATGGATCCTCAACTGCTGAAAGTTTCCAATACTGGTCAAACCATCGTCGCAAGCAAAGGGTTTTGTGTCCATTCTATTTCCAGTGGAAATAGAATGGACACAAAACCCGTGGCTTGCGACGATGTGGTCAAACCTACTCCAAAATCATCTGACCAAACATCCAGAAAAGGTCACAAACAGCAAACAACGCTTGACTAATAGCAAACATCCCAAGATACATGTATGAAAGATTGGTCAAGGTACATGGTAACTTGGGAATGGACATTTTCCTGTTCACTCATCTATTAATATAGCTCACATGCAGGATATGAATCATGATTGATGATACTCATCCTTATTTTCATCATTCATTACTAGATGATAATGATCAACATAGGAATAACTAATTGGGAATTATAAACCCCTTACTGTAAAAGACTTTAACCTGTTCATTCATTCAGAAAATGTACAATGTAGGTTACCTACAGCAATGACTCATGAAAAACCAAAACCTCTTTGAGCCCCTGGGCTCAGATCAAAATTTGAAACCTTTATCATAGCTACTCATATGCAAGTTTTGTTTGTTTTGTTTTGGCTACCACTAAGAATGTAGGAGGATTTCTAATGACAGACTTGAGTTTTGAACCATACCTTTTTAGGCTAATGGAAAAACCTTTGGGCCAAAATTGAATATTATTATATTATTACAAAATGACAATAAAGTGTTATGAGCAGATGAGATAGACTACAATACAATTTATAACCAAATTTTCTTTATATGTAGGCTTAAAACATAGGTAATCAGAGATTACAGAGCTCACCACAATGAATGTTGTCTTAAAGAAAGGCAAAGTCCCACACTAAACAAATAATCTAGTAGTGTGCATCTCTAGATACAACATTTAGGCAACTTTGGTCTCATAGGGCTTGCAGATACTTGGGAATGGACTTATCTAAAAACTTTAAACTATATAGTCACTCATCCAGAAAATATAAGTCAAATCCAGCATCTGAAGCAAGTTTGAGAATATTCATTCCCTGATGCATCATCCATGCAAGTTTCGTTCAGACAGGCCTTAGTACTATCATCTTGCTAATGGGCCTGCACCACAACTTTTACCTGGTCACTCATCTGTAAAATGTAGATCAGATCCAGCATCCGAAGAAAGTACAGTAGTGTGCATCTTTAGATGTATCATCCATGCAAGTTTAGTCAGTTCAGGGCTTATAGTTACTTGGAAATGAGATCTGCTCCAAAAACTTTAACCTGGACACTCATCCGGAAAATGTAGGTCAGATCCAGCATAAGCCTGGTAGTGTGCATCCTTAGGTGTAACATCCATGCAAGTTTGGTCAACATAGGGCTTATACATGCAGTTACTAGGAAATGAGACCTGCTCCAAAAACTTTAACCTGCTCCAAAAACATTAACGTGGTCATTCTTTAGCTGAAATTCCAGCATCTGAAACCTTGACTGGTACCACAAAACACACTAGAAGCATCCTCCATGCATCTCTGATTAATATAGGGCATAGGAGTACTTGAAGAGAAATCTGTTCCAAAAACTTTAACCTGCTACTGAGGGTATTACATAAGCTCTCCCCAACTTTGTTGAGGTGAGCTAAAAATGAAAAATATGTTAAAAAAGAAGAATAAAATGTGTGGGCTTGTAACCATAGCCACTTAAAAGGACAGTGTGATTTGTAATTCTATAACCAACAAACCACCAATTTGAAAACAAAAACACCAAGGTCTGATATTTTTGACGGCTTTGTCTGCCTTCTTATTTCATTGTAATGAAAACTAAAATTCTGTCACCAATTTATAAAGGGTGTGTACTTTAGATGATTTCTGAAAAAAAAGAGGTGACACGTTAGTTTTTATTTGAATCACTTCACCGTTACACTATGAAGTATATGTTCTTTAAAATGTCTAACATATTTCTCATTCCAGTAACCCTACATAATGAGTTCACTAAACAGCAACAGACAGAATTCTGTCAGCAGCATTGTGATAGTGTCAATTTAGTTATTTAACAATGAGAGTTGTTTTCTTTCAACAGTTACAAAATTACTCATTATACACATTTGAAATTTAAAACTTCTAAAAGGATTTTAACTGAAAAACTACTCCAAATCTGTTAGAATGGAGGACTTTGTTTCACTATTACAGTGCAAATTTTTTATACAAGAAAATCTGTCCTTGTCTAGTCATATATTTGTTCTTACACTGGTAAATGTCTGATCTTTTTTTTAATTGTTTTGCTTGCTTTATGTCCTTATGAGAATTTCCCACTCATATTGGAATGCCACTAATTGCAGTTTTAGGGCTGCAAATTAACCTGCACTCTACACTTTTGGCTATTGAGCAGTGAGGGGTCATTTTTGTGCCAGCACCTATAGGACCTCTGTTTATATGGTCTCATCCACAGGATCAGTCTCCATGTCCTGCAGTGAATTTGAAACCCGCCATAAAAGGATCAAATCCTTACTCCTCAACTCTTATTCTATGCCATATAGGCAACAAATACCTGAACAAAACTGGACACAAAATAATAGAAAAAAGAATGAATTGAGAATTTATTGTATGAACTTAAAAATTCATATTATACCCTTCTAATAAAATCGAATGTTGTCTGAACTATTCCAAACACTTTTTCATTTCTGTTGTAAAAAAACCCCACTTTTCTTAATTACATTATAACTCTTCAATTAATTGTTTCTTTTACTGACTTCGTGTTTGTTCTTGATCCATAAAATATCACAGACACATCCATGAAAGTACTGACTCACCAAGTTCACATCATTTCCAATCTATAAACAACTTTAATGTTTTCAAAATGGCACCTTCTCAATAGTTTTCCAAGTGAAAGCAATTTACTCGGAACTCTCATGATCCTTCAACTTTAAAGTACTTCAACAACTGATAATACTTTGATCTGAAAAGAATAGACCTTGCATAATTATATGTACATGTATTACCAAGTTTGTGCACATTTCTTTTTGAATTCATATAAATAAACTTGGAACCTTGCTTGTGCTGCTTATGTCAGGTACCATATTTATCTTCACCTTACTTTTTCCTTTGAGAGAGCCATATCTTTTCCAATTTCATTATTTTTCAAAGAAAGAAATTGACATTTCCTTAATCTCTGCTTATATTTATTAATCAATAAACTACAAAATTACCTGACAGTGTTATCCCTTCCTACACCCCTGAAGGACTCATTTTCAATCAAGCAGTGCTGTAGCTGGGGGCCAATTTGCGAGATGTAGGGGCAACAGCTTTGAGGAAGTTTCTGTAATGTGCTGAATATAGTTTCCAGGTGGCCTTTCTTGTGATCATTGATAAATTTGGACAAGATGGCACATATGTTAGATCTGCAATAGAGATAAAAAAGTAAAGACAAGAGGCCACAACTCTCACCCAAGTAATGTTAGCCCTGCTGTTTTTTCAAAAGATTTTTAAAAGATTCTTTACCCCTATGAGAAATTGTGACCCTTTATTATGGTCCCACTCTAGCGGGTCTCTAATTCACACAACATGGATATGCTTCAATATCAATATGCCTAACATGGCCTTGCAGTTAAGAAGAAGAAATCCTTTTCCTGTATACATGCATTTAGTAAAATTTGATTCCAATTTTAGCCAACTCTTAACACAGGCTCCAAAATCGGTGATGATCCTGAGAATTGGCCAAAATACCTGAAATAGGTTGCAGATCTAGGGGCTGACAAAATATGGGCTTTAGCAAGCCAAAAATAAGTTTAATTGAGTGATAAAAATTGAGGTGTCACAGTTTGTTTAACAACTTTTACATCCTGACCTAGCTGAATGAACAGCCACACCACTGTAAGGAAGTCTGAATCATCCCCACGTTTGTGTTTACCTTACTACGAGATAAAAGCAAACATCTGGATGATGCAAATAAGTTCAAAACACGCAATCGGCAAACCTCGGCTGATTCCGTCACCTTCATCAAAGATGAAGTTAGATGAGATACGAATCGGCCGAGGTGTGCCGAGTGCAAAACACGGACAAAACAACTTGAATATTTTACCCAGACAAAAATTGAAACGGATCGCTGCAAAATAGAAAGTACCAAAATATCAGAAAACACTCCTAAATATCGGATTCTTGGACTCAAATTAGCGGAATTCCGCTAAATATTGGAATAGAATCATCACTGCAAAATTTTGAAAAAAAAAAGGAATCCACACAACTTAGGAATGTTGGCAAAAGAATGGTTTCATTGTAGTTCTTGAGAAGATTTTTAAAATTTTTTCCCCTACATAATCTCATGTGAAACTTTGATCCCCTATTGTGGTCATACCTTACCCCCATGGGGCCATTATTTGAACAATTTAGAATCTACATTCAATTCATATTAGGAAGCTTTTAAATGATTCAACTTTTCAGGTACAGTGGTTCTTGAGATATTTTTAAAAAATCCACTAATTCCAATGTACAATTTTGAACCCCTATTGTGACCACACCCTATTCTGGGGATTATGATTGAACAATTAGGGATCTAAAATATGTCTGGAAGTTTTCACATATTAAGTTTTATTTTTTCTGGTCCTGTGGTTCTCAAGAAGATGATAAGTATATTTCAATGTAAAACCGAGATCCCAAATTGCAGCCCCACCTACATGTACCCTGGGGGCCATGGTTTGTACAATTTAGACTCTATACTACCTCAGAAAGCTTTCACATAATTTTCTTTTTTTCTGGTCATGTAGTTCTTGTACAAATTTTTCCCTATATATTTCAATATAAAATTCTGATCCCTTATAGTGGTCCCATTCTTTCCCCCAGGGGTCATAGTTTGAACAATTAGAATCTACACTACATATACCTCAAAGAGTTTTCACATAAGTTTAATCTTTTCTGTCCCAGTGGTTCTTAAAATGACCGGCAGTCTGATGCATTTCACAGGACCAAATCAATATTTGCCAGACTGAAAATATTTATCAACAAGGGCATTTATTTTTGTTAGGTGATTTCCAAGACTTTCAAAAATTTAGATTGAGTCAGTTGTGTCACGTGCGTAATGGATTGGCGACCTATTGCTGTGTTTTTTTTCCGTAAACAAGGCAAACAATAATATTTATAAAAAAGAAACAAAATAAAATTACAATGTTAAATACATCATTTATTCAGTTATTTAACCTGAGATACTTTGTAAACTTTGTTTTGTTTATTTATCTACATACTAGATGAAATCCCGCGCAAGCACGGGGAATTGAATTTATACTACTACCGACAGAAAATATATTGTAGTTTCTACTGACAGCCTACAGGTTTATAGCAGGAAGAAATACTTTGTTCAAAATCCTGCAGGAAGTAGATGTACGCCCCCCCCCCCCCCCCCCTCCATTTGTGAAAATTTGAAAGAAAAAAACAATTTCATTAATTGGCGTTTATTGTGAAATCTGTTACACTATGTTATGGATATTGTACTTCAGATGCTCTTATTTCATTTCCCTCAAGGATAAAAGCAGGGAATATGCACATTTTACTTATAAATTGATTTGGGGTGGGGGGTGGGGGGTTAAAAATTCACTGGTACTTGGGCCTTGCTTTATAAATATCTACGTACCTTATCGATATGTAAAAAATGTACTTTACTTTTTTACATACATGTATCAATAAGGTACATACGTATTTATAAACCAAGACTCAAGTACCTGTGTAAAAATTAGCTTTTAACGCCCTATGAATAGGCCGTGTATTTGATACAAAGGACTGTATTCAGAAAAATAACTGAAATGTATTGATTAAAGCACAAAAGTTTACAGCTTTGATTGTATTTGAACAATACCTTATTCATTAAATTTTCTCTTTTCATGTAAGCAAGTTTATTGCAAAGTACAAATTGTACTTTGGGTTCGTTGCCACGATGCTCGCAGTGAGGATTTTACCGATAGGAAAACCTACTACATGTATGTTTTTAGTCTTTCGATATATAAATATATTCAAAACTTATAGTGTTATCAATGATTTACCATTATTTCAATGACCATTCACACAAAAGCTTTTTTCATGTAGCATAATCAATAATAGCCTCGTTTTTTTTTTAACATCGGGCTCGATGCTATATGATGTTCTAGAAGCTTCCGTCAATATTAAGATCGGTGAATGACGAAAATAATTTGCACATTTCCCTTTTTAATCGGGTATCACAACTTATCTCTTTTATATCATTTAAATCAAGTTTTGATTGAATAATTCAGTGATGACGTTTTATGAAATAAATGAACGATTGCTTGTTGTCAGTGTCATTAAAAATTGCCAGTAACTTAGATCCGCCAACCGGAAATGCCACCGTACTCATGTTTTTGCTATTTCATGGCTGTTTATAGAAAATGAGGGTAGACTTTTAATTTAATGTACGATACTAACTATCCGAGTGAAATCTAAATATAGTTTACGGACATCATCTTGTATATAGTGTATTCTTAGAGGAGTTAGTATGAACTCTGGTGCACCCGTTTCGGAGTTTATTTGCAAAATTTATTAATTTATAAGTATAGATACGCTGCCATTTCTACTTTCGTTTTTGTACGACCATATTTAATTTTTAATACAATTTACTAATAGATGAAATAAATCATATATAAGAACACTTAGATAAACAAAGAATATTGTTTAGTAGTACTTTAGATTTGGTTCAATCATTTCTATAAAATATTCAAATGAAAGAAATTTTTTTTTGATAACCATCGGGAGAAAATGCTGATTTTTGAACTCAAGATCAGTGGTCCCATGAACTTCCGAGTTTAGAAGAGTCGCCTGTATTTTATAGACGATCGAATTAAGTAAAAAGAAAAAAAAACACAAATCTAAATCGATGGGCCTTTGGACGGAATAATTTAACTTCATCATCGGACCAAATCGAATTTCATCGGATTTGTCCAACGGACCGGTGCTTTTGGGATAGACTGGCTTTCTCCTTCATGAAGAAATGGGCATGTCACCATGTAACAACCAATGTTCAAACGAATTCACAGCTCAAAATGTTTCATTCAGAAGGAAAATTTTACCACTTCAATGAGCTTCATTGTTAGTATGACCTCTTCTGTTCTCCATTACAAGATACAGGACAGGAATAAAATGTTTTCCTATAAGTGACCTTGAACATGATAAAATGACCTTAGGTCATGGGACACATTTATGTCATAAGCAATCTTTGATTGAAGTATGAACTTCCAATCTTTCTCCGAAAGTTGTATACTAGACAAATAGTTTAAACTATTTCTGCCAGTGACCTTGAACTTTCCAGCATGACCTTGAATCAAGGTCACGATTCAGCCTTAGACAATACACCTTTGTACCAATGACCAACTTCCAAATAGTATCCATTTGAAAAAATAATTAAAAGGACACAAATAAAACACTTTAGTCCTTAACAGTAAAATCAAAGGGGACTATAGGTTTCCTCTTTGTTTGTCTGTCTGTCTGTCTGTCCCAAGTTATTTTCTGCACTTTTTTTAAATGCTTGCATATTGAAATGAGAGTGTACCTTGATGAATTGATGTACATCTCATATGACATCTAATATGATATGATGTACATATCAAGTTTGCATTTCATTCTGCTTCAATGATTTTTGATGGAATTATGGCCTTTTCAATTTTTATCGGGAACCAGATTACACTCACCAGTATGGGGACTAGTATTTCTTATTCCATACACTCAGAATGCTTGTTTTGCCAGTAACCACAAACTTGCTGGAATGACCTTATGTCAGGGTCAATACGTACAATAAGATCATATGCAATATTTAGATAAATATGAGCCCTCTTATGTTCTCCTTTACAAGATATGGTCGGTATAGGAATTAAACATTTCTGTATACTAAATAACCATGAAATTGATCAATGATCTTGGGTCTAGGGCAACACACTCTCAGGTTATGAACTTTCAACTTCCAATATCCAAGGATATTTCAATGGACAAATATCTTGTATAAAAAGGTTTTCAAATAAAATTACAAAAAAAAATAATTACATGAATGCAAACTGAATATTTAAAAGATATTTTTAAAATTTTTTTTTAATTTCAACTTCCAATATCCAAGGATATTTCAATGGACAAATATCTTGTTCAAAAAGGTTTTCAAATAAAATTACAAGAAAAAATATTATATGAATGCAAACTGAATATTTATGAAGATATTTAAAAACTTGGCTGATAACTATCTTGAGATATAAAATTTCACATTATCATTTATAATTACCTTTAGCTGAAATGAAATTTTAGGAAATTTCTGGCATCAAAAATACCTTGGACTTACATTAGCACCAAAGGTGAATAACTAAATGTGAATAAAAACACATAGAAAAATATCTTGATTTCTACTGAGAAATTACCATGTTAACAGGTTTCCACTGCATCTTTTTAGTAAATATTTTGAAAGATACAGGGATTGGAGTGGAAATCAGTAACTGCAGTGCAGAATGCTGATCTTTAATCCCAAATCCCAACCTTCAGGATATTTGAAAATAATCCATTAGAATGGGATATAAACTTAATCCATAATACATAGATACTTCATCTTTAAAATCCCTTCATCAACAAACTGCATAATGGGTGTTTTTTGTGAATCAAAATTTCTGCAGTTAAATCCTCCAAATGTAACATTAAAATTTCTGCATTTGCAATTTTTGCTTTTTTATTCAAATAGATATAGATATTTTAATATTCTTTGATTCTAATGTTTGCAATACTGACTGAATTGCCAATGAAAGACAGCCACAGAAAGGACTCATTGTATGATGTACTCTCTGGGATTATACTGGTGGCCTAACTTACATGTCCTTGTTCTGTTGTATGATGTACTCTCTAGGATTATACTGTAGGCCTAACTTACATGTCCTTGTTTTGTTGTATAATGTACTCTCTAGGATTATACTGTAGGCCTAACTTACATGTCCTTGTTTTGTTGTATAATGTACTCTCTAGGATTATACTGTAGGCCTAACTTACATGTCCTTGTTTTGTTGTATAATGTACTCTCTAGGATTATACTGTAGGCCTAACTTACATGTCCTTGTTTTGTTGTATGATGTACTCTCTAGGGTTCTACTGTAGGCCTAACATACATGTCCTTCTTTGGTTGTATGATGTACTCTCTAGGATTATACTGTAGGCCTAACTTTCATGTCCTTGTTTTGTTGTATTATGTACTCTCTAGGATTATACTGTAGGCCTAACTTACATGTCCTTGTTTTGTTGTTTGATGTACTCTCTAGGGTTCTACTGTAGGCTTAACTTACATGTCCTTGTTCTGTTGACTTGTACACACAGCCTCCATGATGCTCTGTATTAGAAGCTCTGACTGGTGTGTGGAAGCTAATAGATCCACTTTCAGAATGGGATACAGGATAATCCGACAGTCACTATAAAATCAACAACAAATAAAAAATCAATCAATCAATCAATCAAATGAAATGTGGTACCGCACTAATAATTGGTTATAATGGAAAATCAATATGTAAGTATTTTTCAAACTGATAGTGAATAAATTCAAATACCAAACAATTTTACCTCTCAATGACATCAGGTTCTGTAGTAAGTTTCACGACTTCCAAGAGGAACCTAATAGCCTAAAAATAAGAAATACAGTAAAATTAATGTGGTTAGACTGAGGAGTTCAAAGTTGGACAATTTAGTTCTTCTGTGATATGGAGAGTCACATTGGAAACTCTGATGGTCTAACTAGTATTTAAGAATGCTCTTTAACAAGAAGTGGATGAGTAGAAACTTTGGCGATAAGGTGTCATTTATAAGAATTTCCTAATTTACATTTGCACATCCTAATGATCCAGAACTCAAAATGTTAAATTCCAATTTTCAAACATACTGAACATAAAATTTGAAGACTTCAGCCTCAAACACTTGGAAGCAATAATGACAAACAAAACTCTTAATGAAGATTTTGAAATGCATCATCTACTGAATGTTTATTTTATAAATGTCAATTTTTTTTTAAAAAGAAACCAGCATATTAGAATTTTTATAGCAAAAATACATAACACAAACTAACATCACCAACTTATAACTCACATATTGATGATTAGGGTTATATGCCTGTTGATTAAATTGTAGATATTTCTCACAAACTAGTTCCAGCATAAAATGTCTGAAGGCCACATCATTCTCTGGTGAATCCTTAATGAATGAGGCTTTTAATGATAACTGAAAACAGGTGAAAAAAAAATGTATGTGGAACAAATACATGTACTCCACCTATATGTACATGTATATGAATGTACATGCATACACAAGTTGTGAAAGAAAAATCAAACTATCAAATATGTTGTGACTTAATTGCTATACACCTTGTGTAACTGAAAAAAATCTCTCCATATCATGGTTGTTTACTGACAGTGGGTTTTTCCAAAATGATACTTGCTCACACTGATGATCAAAATGCTAAAATACTTCATATGTGCATGTACTTGATACTGAATGCTGTGTGAGATTTCCTATCTATGAATATCTGCTGTACTGATGATATTAGAACTTTTGGCAGATCTTTTTTCATGAACCTTGTTTATATTTATACCCACTACATAATACAAAATATTTTGAGAGAACACCTTTCAAATCTTTACATCTTATATATGAAGTGGTATCAAAGGGCATTTGATTTTATCCATTTGTATATTATCTATATGCTAGTTTAATAAAACCTACAAAACAAATATGCAAAATGTTGACAACAAAACCTGTAGTTTTACAAAACTTAAAATATTTCTTACCACAAGTGGGTGTTGCCTTCCTGGACCTAAAGAGGAGCTCTGTAAGACGGATAAGTGGTAATATAAGAAGACATATACAAGCTCTTCACCTTAAAACCTCTCAAGAGAAATCTTAAATTTTAAAAATGGCAGATCCAAACTATAATTCTTGAAGAAATTCAAGTCATTCTTGGACACAATACCACATATCAGTATTCAAAGAAGTATGTTTCAATTTCATAGTTTAACAATTGATTATGTTTGTTTTGTGTCTTATAAATTTCATATTCTTTAAAACAGTTAATTACATAAGTTCTGTGATATAAAGCACCAACCCAATATTTAGGTAGATATATAGACACAATATCGCCGAGTTTTCTGTTGACATAAGTAGATCGTCTGTAATCAAGCTTGGACAGCCCTATCACAAACTGAAAACATGAAAGAGAAACACAAGCTAAGAGATCTGTCCCATTTTTGTCATAGAGACAGAGTAAGCTAACACTTGATGATAAAGTTATCTTAAATGATAAGTTTGTTCATTTAGTCTTTTATCCCAAAATCTTGGATTAGGAAGATGAACTAAAAAGGTTGCAGGGATTAAATGTCATTGAAAAGTATGAGTATCCACCTGAAAAAATTAAACAATCATTTCTCTAACCTGATGAAGATACTGTCCTACAATGTTGACAAAAGCAGATTTAGGGGGCTTGTCTGTATTATACATGAAGTGTGGGACAATCAGAGCTGCTAGTATGTTAGGCAGGGGGCAATCTGGCTTGGACTACAATGACAACATTAATAATTTAATTCTTGAATTTGATGTGCATCAAATAAACATTGAATTTTCACTGAATTTATTTTAAATAAAAGATTTGCATGGTTTAAAAAGGGATTTCAAAATATCTTACAATTTGTTCAAATAATTTCTGCTGTTTAAAATAATGCATGTCTACACAACATCAGATCAACACCTCTCAATTGAAGTAAAAATGCCTTATACTCCTAGCTTAAAGCGACAGTACGGCTGCAAAATATGTGCTTTTTCATCCAAATTTACCCAATATGTCATTAAGAAATAAGGTATAAATTTGTTGAAGCAGTTTGAGAAACAGAAATATTCTCTACTTAAACAAAATTAACGTAATTAGAATCTGCCGGAAAATCAAGGGTCGTATGAACTGGAGCAATCTTAGATCTGTTTATTTGTACCACGTGAATTCTAAAACGGCACGTCCCTACACTGTAGCGTTTACATTTATAATGAATATTAGGTGAAAGCAATTTTCAAAAACACAAATTATCATAACTATCTGATAAAATAATCTAAAATAATAATCGAAAAGATTTTAGTCTGCATTCAGGCGAATTTAACAGAAATTAAAGTACAAATGTTTACGTTTTGTGTATTGGGGTCCGAGAAAGGAAAAACCAACTAATCATACGTTATCGCGGCAAATGTCAAACAAAATATGTTTCTGCACAGTTAAAAAAAAATAGCATTTCAAATGGCAACAATGTTTATAAGTCAAAGATGTATTTTTTATGTTGAGATTACACTATCTTTTTTCTTTGAAAGTGACGGAAAAATGAGGAAATGATAACAAGTATCAACAAACCTGTCGAACAGAACCTTCGAGAGCCCTGCACGAGTGTCGCCGAGTTCCCATTTCTTCCTTATCCAGCGATTATATTAATCCCCAAACTAAATTTTAGTCAGGAAAGTTGCTTTTTCAAGTTCTGTTTTCAGTTTCTTTTTCTTTTTGGTCGACTTTGTCAATGTAGCAGGCCTACCGGGATTCCCTCTCTAACCATGCTGTTTTGTTTATGAAAACTACGCATGCATGCATAGCATGGAATGTGGAACCCCGAACACGTTGCGATGTATATATTTACGTCCCATGAATAACTATTAATTTTAATGAAATAATCCAAATTATTTAATTGTAAAAGTTGTAATTTTCTGAAAGTTTATACATTTATGAGTAGTAAAAAAAATTCCAAATCTTGTCGGATAATTTTATCTAGTCAGTTTTTTGATGAGACGCGCCGTACTGTCACTTTAAGGTAGAGAAGCAAATTTTTGTGGGAACTACTGTATATCAATAACATGACTATATCTTCTCTTTGGGTACTTTCCTACTTATTAACGTTCAAAGTTTTCCACGTAAGCATGCACCTGATAAATACATGTACATATAGTAAAGCATTGTTTGAACTAAATAACAATTCCAAAGAAGGCCAAATGAAAACTGTGGCATGCAAATGAAAATTTTACCTGTAATTACAGATTACAAACAACTCACCTGAACAAACAAGACAGGAGCACAGTGCTTCACCAGGTAGCCCAGCACAGCATACACATTCTTCAGGATATCTGCTGGTTGTAGAGACTGCATGACTGGTGCTATCTGTTTAGGGATGTCCACAAAGAACTGGATCACCTTGTCTCTTAAACAGATCCTTTCCTTCCAACCCTGAATCAAATTAAGCCAATCAGATGTTGGCAATCACTAGAGATTTACAGCATTATTTTCAAATATGCTGTACTATTTGAGTCAATTCTTAAGCCAATTCTTCAGAATGAGTGTCCTCAGACAGCATTAAGAAGGACAACATTCACATTTCTGATATGCCTTTTAAAATTCATTGCTATGATAAAGGCACTTTTATAAAATTATAGCACTGTTCTTTCTCATGTGCTATTTGATATACATCTACATTTTATACATGATTACTACTCACTGTGGTTTTATCATATGTTTTCTTGATTGCCTGTATGAAATGAGTTATCTGCCCATCCTCTGCAGGCTCCAATCCACTGACTGTAAACATCTCTTTTACAGTTGGTAGCTGTATAAAATCTCTAAAGATGCAAAAATATGCATTAAGTGATACCACTTATATTAAAAAAAATGGGCTTGCATTTTATGAAAGCCCTGGCACCAATAAGAAAGCCTAAACTCTAACCAATCAAAAGTTAAGGGCAAGCTTAAAGTTTATGTGGACAAGCAGATAGACAGACCAAAAACTATATGCCCTTGAATTTTTGGGTACATGAGCATAATTACATCTCTTTTGGCTGCACTAACTTTTTAAGCAAGTCTGCAAATTTGACCCACATGTAAATATGAAAGCCATAATTCTAACCAATCAAAAGTTATGGGCAAGCTTAAAGTTTTTGTGGGCAAACAGATAAACAGACCAAAAACTATATGCCCCTGAATTTTTGGGTACAGGGGCATAATTACACTTACTTGGGCAGCACTAACTTTGCAGAATTTTGAAAGAACTAGAAATATTTCAATAGGACATGAATGCCCCCCTCCCCCCCCCCCCCCCCCATGTACATTTGTATTGCAACAGTCAAAATACTTGTAAAATATACTGTCTTCTTTGGTCTGAGATTGATTCATCCCATCTTATATCTGGGCACATACCTCTAAATATTTTTAGTATTGTTAGGGGAAGAAAGTAGTGCACTAAAATGAAATAGTTCCTGAACTTGCTAACAATACATGTTTAAAATAAGTAGGTCGTCATCTGAACTAGAGATGAAAGAAGAGAAAATTTCGCTTTCATTTTTATCTTTGAAAGTAATGGAATTAAATTGTTTGATGTGTGCATACCCTGAATTTTGGATATACCCTACTTTTACTTTCATTTTCAGATTTTTTTCTGAATACATTTTGCGGAAAACCAATCTGACATGCCACCTCAAGATTTTAACTAGTGAGAGAGAATTTAAGGTGTTTTCATTTGTGGAGTGCCCCATCCTTCAATTAAAAATTATGGGAGAAGCTGTAGGAGAAAACATTAACATTGTCGCCTATGGGAAATGTATTAGTGGACTGAACCCATCTAACAGCAATTTAATAAAGTCTCATTGTTTCAATATCTTGTCATATTTACCAAATTAATGTATGATCATAAATCATAAAAATGCTCTTGCAGAGATTTATCAATGTATGAAATTTTCTTAAGTAATCCTTTCTGGAATTAAATAAAATGAACTAAGAATAAAGTGAGGGGAAAATGTGAAATTTATAAGTGAGGTTTGTAGAAAATATGAACAGTTTCTTCTAAACTGTGCTAGAGCACGTTACTAAGTATTAGTAAGGTCAAGGTCAGTGTTAAATAGCTCCCACCAATGTGCATGAGATTTGATAAATATCTCTTGAAAAGAACTTAAAAACTTATCTTAAAACAAAATAGGGTATAGCAGGGTCAAAGTCTTATCAAAGTCAGAAAATTATGCCACAACTGAATAGCTCTCATCAATATGTAACAGTGTATGAATTTTGGTTATAATAATTTTAATAGTTACTTTAAAACTGAGCTAAACACAAAATAAGGAATATGGTAAGGTCAAGGTCAAAGGAAAGGTCAATGTCAGAAAATGATGCCACAGTGAAGAGCTATCACCAGTATGTATCAGTGTATGTATTCAATGTATTAGGGCTTTCATGGTTCCCCAAAATAACCGATAATTGTGGTCCAAGTTGTTCAGTTTCGGTTCCATTTTTCTCGATTTTGGTTTGGGTGTGGTTTATATATTAGAATCTGGTTTACACAAAAAATGGGATTAAAATCAAAAGAATGATGACAATAACATTGATAAATAAATATCACATCTGCAATCTACTTCATCCATGACAAAACAATTGTCATGAACGGATGGAATATTTATAAAAAAAAGGAAAAGTGGTCATGTTATAGCTAATACTGGCCTGGTAGTCCTAAATACCAATGTTAACACATTAACATGGTTCTACTTTTTTTCAAAGTGAATTTAATGTAACAAATACATGGAAAAAAGAAGATTTTTTCAAGTTTAATTCATGAAAATTAAGTTCAAAATAGATGTACAGTGCTACCTCGGTATATTGCCAACTTTTGTCCATGGCAGATTTTGACATTAAAGCAAGGGTGGCAATATAAAGAGTTCTGTCATAAATTACAATGCATTGGGCTCAAGCCAACCAAAACAAAATGAATACGTAAATTATTTCAGTTACAATCAAATGTCATGCTTGTGCATGTGTGTATATACATGCACAATTAAGCACAGCTTTCATTTCTTTAGGAAAAAAGACATTAATTTAATGACTTACAAGAATTTTGACTAAATGAAAGGAAAATGTCAGCATATTGAACCACTTATCAATTTCCTGCTCTTTCGCTCTTCTGTCATTTGGTCCAAGAATTAAACAACCTAATGATCACAGTGTCAATAGCAGTTATAGTCTCTTGGTACAGTATAAAAAAGTTTTTGAGTTTTATCGACAATTTCATCTGAATCGGAAGTAGATTATTTCACCATCTCAAGAATTAAAAAGTTCTGCTGGTTAAGCATCATGACTGTCGAATGGAAAGTCACGTGTCAGGTTACATGTCAAAATCTTCATTAACCCATTGTAATATACATGTATTCTCACATTTGCTAGTACCTGAATACTTTCTCTTCTTATTCTGTTTTGATATTTATCAATCAACCCATTATGTGTCCAACACTTTTTGACTGATTCAGAGGTAATGGGAACCTAGCTATGCTATTTCACGTGTGGAATAATAATAGTCTAAAAATAGAGATGGGGTTTCCTTTTGATCTATAGAACGGCTTCTTGATCTAATGGGGGAAAATGAAGTTTTGCATTATTATGGCTTGCTGCATTATCTGTGATAACGAACAATCATCAATTCATAGTTAAATAAAATGTACAATTATTTGGGGGTTTTTCTTTCGTAATCTAAACTTTATATGACTTCTCTTCCCTGACTTTCCCATTACTGTGATGAAATAATACTGCTATCTTATAAAAACAACACTAAAGACACTGCCAATTTTAGTTTTATACAACAATTATTTTTAATTTAGCTGAATTCCTTGTTCAGTCAGGCACGCTTCACAGCAAACACTGTGAAAGCACAAATGTGACGTCCAAATTACCGACACCTGCTAGATAATTGGCATTGTTATCGAGGGTTTTCCTTATATAATTTGAACTTTTGTTTCCAAAAACCAGTGGCGGATGGCAATAAGTGGGGGTGGCATTATAATGGGCGTATTAATCCGGATCACGTACATACCTGTCAACCTCACCCTCCTCCCCATTTTGAAAAGACTCCGAATTAACACGGGGGAAATCTGTTCTTGGAGAATTCCTGGCACAATAAGCGGGGGGGGGGGGGGGGGGGGGGGGGGGGGGAGCACTGTAAATAACTGAACCGAAAGACCTGAAAAGAACCCCAAAATTTACAAACCCGAAAAATTTGGAACCCTGACAGCCCTACAGTGTATGAATTTTGGTCAAAATATCTTGAACTTTAAAACTGAGCTAATTAATGCAAAGTGTAACAGATGGATTGAAGGATAAAAGGACAGAAAGATAGAAGACAGAGATGTCAAACAGTATATACCCTGGCCATATTCATGGCAGGGCATAAAAAATGTTAAACACTGTTTCCTTTTTTTAGCTGTGTATGAGACTGAAGACTACCAGTATATTTTTAGAAGAGAATAAACAGATTTAATATGTAAGTTTGCACTTACTTGAGCCTGAGAGGAGACTGAGGCACTAGTAATGAGGAGGTAACCCATGCTTGCATCAGTGTAACCTCATAAGATGGTAGGTGCTCTGACAACTGCTTCAGAAATCCATTCACAGACAGAACTTGGGACAGGAAGCGACTTGATATGCTTATTCAAGAGTTAGCAATTAATAAAAATAAATAACTGTATTTAGAATCATTTTATAATAATGTGAAATTACTTTATGACATCAAAGAAATGTAGCTTACCTTTTGTTGATTTGTTCACTTACGGAAAACTTCAAGATGCTGACAAAATCATCTGTTTTACTGCACAAATATTCAAAGATAAATTGTGTATTTTAAGCATAGTTTTCTGCATGAAACTTTTTTTTTCAATATACAGACAAGAGAACCAACTCTTAATGGTATCATCAGACATACATGTATATAGAAATATTTCCTACATGTAAAATTTTCTATGTAAAATGTTTGTCCAATAGTCCTGAAGGAATTGATTTGAACAAACTAGAATCTACACTCAGTAAAGGAGTGTTATTGTAAGTTACACTTTTTTTTGGTCATTGTTTCTAAAGAATATTTTCAAATGACCTCACCATATTTTGTTACCCACCTTTAACATTTCACCATCCCTTTGGCTCAGGTGAGCTAAAGTGAGATTTGCTCTTATGTATCAACCAGAGATTGGATGGATTCAACAACTGTGTCACTTACCAGTCTATGGACATTAAGCACAGTGCTGCTAGCAGGTCAGCACAGGGCTGTGGTGCTGTTAGACTACAGCACAGGGTTTTCAGTGATGGATAAATATTGGTCATCACTTCAGAGTACATAGCTGCAATATTGAACATTTGATTTGAAAAAAAGCTATTTACATGTACATTTAAGCAGCAGTGCAACATAGAAGGTAGTTTAAATACCATGGAATTTTAGTAAATACATGTATCGTAATTCTGACTGTATTCATTATTTATGTATTTCTGTAAAATATTCCACTCTTCAAATGTCATATCATACTACATGTACATAATCTTGGTCATAACTTTTGAACAGTTGATGCAAGGGTTTTCATACTTTAAATGTGTATTCCTTGAAACAAGATCTTTCCTCTGGTACCAAAATTTTGACTTTTTGACCTTCACTTTGGAGTTTGACCTATTTTTGAAAAACTTTAACCTTGACCATAACTTCTGAATGCTTGGTGCTATGACTTTCATTTTTCAAGTGTTTTCCTTGTGACAAGAACTTTCTTTGGGTACCAACAATTTTTACCTTCACCTTGGAGTTTGACACATTTGAACTTTTGAAAACTTTAACCTTGGTCATAACTTTTGAATGCTTGGTGTTAGGGCTTTTATATTTCACAGGTGAATTCCTTGTGACAAGAGCTTTCAAGAAGTACCAATATTTTTGATCTCATGACCTTGAGCTTGGACTTTTTTCTGAAAATGTTTAACCTTGACAATAATGATTGCTGCAAGGGCTTTCATATTTCACCATCTGTATTCCTTGTGACAAGTCCTTTCTTTGGGTACCAAAGTTCTTGATCTCTTGACCTTAGAGTTGGACTTACATATAAGAAACTTTAACCTTTGCCATGAGCTGCCATACGGGGGCATCGGTGTTTCAAAAACACATCTTGCTTTTTAATTGAATATACATAAACATTTATATTTCATTAAGCACACTTTAATTTACCTGAGTTTGGTGCAGTCATGATAAAACCTCTTGTGACAATATCTCTGCAAGTGAAAATTGAGCATTATCATTATCCTTTCCTATTCTGATTAATAACTGACAGTTGCTTGAGAGACTTTTTAGTACATGAATACACAATTACTGTAATTTATGGTTTATACTACATGGTAATTTTCAATCCCTAAGACATAATAAATAGCAATACGAATGGTTAAACCTACATACTCAACACACTGAAGATCCAAACAAATTACATTACAAATTTATCGTTAGTCCATCTAAGAATTTTTACCTAAACTTGCTGAGTATTTCTTGTAGTGTTGTAACTATTCCACTAATTTCTGAGCTTCTACATGAGTCAAGAAGTTTTCCAAAACCTTCCCCTGAAAGTAAATGTCAAAGCATCATAAATGTTGCTAGTTTTCAAGCAAAAGTTCAGAAATTCTAAACAAATTTTGAACGAACAAGTTATTCAAATCCTTTACAAGCAAAGAGAAAATGTGACAGTGTACCTAACAAAGGTAAATTGTGATAACATGTAAATTCCTTTATCCTTCTATATACAAAATCAATGAAGAATGAATTATATTTACACTGTAAAAATGACATGTACCTATAAATAGATACTGTGACAGTTCCACATCACTACTTCTTTCAAACACCTCAGCGACATGTTCCATATAAGCACAGACCACGGTCCAGTGACTGTAATGCTTCATTTCTTCCTGTTCCAATTTTCTAATAATTACATGCATGCATATAATAATGAATCAGTATTTCCATTTAGTCTTTCAGTCTTCAAACAAATAAGACTTGTGTAATTTTCTTTTTCAAAACACAGCAATAATTTAATACAGAATCACACACATATATCAAACCATCCTCTAGTTACTGTTTGTGGAAAAAGGTGATGACTTACACGGCAGCCTTGTTGAAATCCTCTACTAATTTTTCTGATAGCATTGTCACATTGATGTTTTTCTGTATGTACAATAATACAGCTGCAAAGCGGCCCTTCATCAGACTAACCCTGAGGGCAGTATCCTCCATACTGGATATCATATCACTGAACTTACACATTCTGGTGATCTAAAATAAACAAGAGATGTTTGTGAAACTCTTATGCCTCCCTCAGCCCCCTCCCCCCCCCCCCCCCCCACAACTGGAATTTTTCCAAGTCCAAGGGGCATAACTCTGTCAAAAACTGCTCAATCATACCCAGAACAGAACTTGACCTAGATATATTTATGATAAATCTGTATACCAAGTTTCATTTCTGTATGTGCAATCTCTGCAAAGAAAATGAATGGAAACTGCAAATAATTGGAATTTTTCTAAGTCCAAGGGGCATAACTCTGTCAAAAATTGCTCTATTGTACCCAAAACAGAAGTTGACCTACATATTCCTATGATAAATCTGTATACCAAATTTCATTTCAGTATCTGCAACCTCGATCTGCAAGGAAAATGAATGGAAACTGCAAGTAATTAGAATTTTTCAAAGTCCAAGGGGCATAACTCTTTCAAAATTGCTCGATCGTACCCAAAACAGAACTTGACCAAGATATTTTATGATAAATCTGTATACCAAATTTCATTCCAGTATGTGCAACCTCTGCAAAGAAAATGAACAGAATCTGTTGGTGGACTGACAGACAGACCACCGACCGACCAACAGCAACAAAACAATATATGCCCTCCCTTCTTTGAAGGGGAGCATAACTACATAATTAATCACTAAATAATAAATTTTATATAAGATTAACTGAGTGAATCAGATGACCTAAAAAATGACATCTCTTATGGGTGTTAAAATAGAAAATGCTCCGAAGTAAATTAATTTTCCAATATGAAGACTATTTCCTGAATTTTTCTTCTGTAATTGTATGCCTTGAGAACCATACTGTACTGCAAACGGTATATGGAGGTACATAACCTGTCATTATTGTGTTTGTTATCCCCTGAGTAAAATTTTGAGAAAATACTGAACTAACATGTACTTACAATTTCTTCAGTATCTGCTGTTAGAGCCAAACTCAAAAAGAGGCAAAAAAAGTTATGCAGCCCAGTGTCTGTAAGCTCCTGCATACGTCTAATGTGGAACTTTGAGAAAATCCTGTGATTGATATAATATTAATATTCTTCAAAATTACAAATCCACTTTAGAAAAAACATTGTTATCTTGTGGCATTTCTCTGCTTTATAGACTTATCAAAAGCTAAAGAGTTCATGTAGTTGTCTATAAAAGAGATCTTTAATTCTTGAATATATCAGTGTGTTTTCCTAGTCCCCAAGATATCAGGATAATAAGGTTTGAATGTATTTCTATCGACACAAACTATAGCCAAATAGTATGATCCTCTCCATTCTGATTCATGGTTGAATGGGAGTAGAATATTTTGTAGCTCATTAAAATATTGACCAATTTAAGTAAAGCTTAGTCAGATTGCCAATTTTTATATCAAACAATTATTTTGATTGGATTACATGACATAACACATTAGAGGCGTGATTTTGTAAGATTATGCTTTGTGTGATCAAGCAGCCATGGGTAGGAGAGAGCTATATGCACTCCAGACAGTGGCATGTGACAATCGATGCTTTATTTCTTACAGGCAAAAAATCCCAATAACGGGGCAAGTATTACTGTGTATACTTTTTGCTTTATAAGATCATACTGTATACACCATGATTTACAAATAATTCAAAACATGACATGAGATTATTATAAGGACTATGATCTGAAAACTTACATACTCTGACTTAGGGACAGAAGATGAGAATTGTAGTTTTGTATATATTAATGAAATTAATTTACCTTCCTTTTATCTGTTTCCATTCTGAGGATAAACTGCCCTTTTCCTGAAGTGATTTACAGAGAATGCAGAGAAACCTTATGTAACTGTTATCATCCAACCTGCTGCAAAAGAAAAATTAACACAATAATGCCGCTGTAACTTACCAAATGCATTTTATGTTTCCATTAAATCTAATATATGTACATAAGAAAAAAGAATGAAAAACAAAACACTTAAAAGGATTACAGATTTACCTTCATTTATCTCACAAGCTGTCCTTTGTTGATAAATGAGCATTAATAATATGTTTTACCAAGGCACCAAAAATTTACATTAAAAGTAACCCTTTTTCATTAATCAACTATCATGACCCCAACCCCACAGTTTAGAGATAATCAAAGATTATGGAGCTAACCTCAACATATATCATCTAAAAGCAAGGAAAAGTCTCGCACCATATGAAATGTTCTAATAGCGGTTTTACGTAAATGCATCTTCCATGCAAGTTTGGACCAGGTAATGCTTGTACTAACTTAAACCTGGTCACTCATCTGGAAAATAATTCAGCATCTGCCTCATGTGCCATGACAGTAGTAACTTTTAGTATTAAGTAAGTTTTCACTGTTACTTTTGGACCAGTGGCAATTTGAGAAGAAGATACAACCTAACTTTTTCACCTCAGAAACCAAATTGAATATGAATGCTCTGAGACTGTTAAGTTTGCATGAAACTGGCTAAAAGATTTTGGAGATGATGATTTTCAGAATTATATGAATAATTCTCAACAAGGGATAAACCCAAATAAACACTTAGGTGACCTAAAAAATTGAAATTATATTCAAAATAAAAGGTGCATAGAAACATTATTTTGTTGTTTTCAACATACAATGTATCTCTATAAACTCCAATGAATGAAACTGTGAATAAGGGGATAATTGGCTTCTACTCAAATTGATGAACTGTTAATGCTTCTACTTATCACATTTTTAAATACTATATTCTGAACTGGGAGTCAATTAACTGTATATGGGGTCTTATTCCACTTGTACAAACCACAAAAAAATTAGGTTGACTTGGTAATGAACTCAGGAAGAGCATTACATCAACAATCAAATAATATACTTCTTACATCAACATTCAAGTAATACACTCACTTTTAAAATTTTTCCTCTATTGATTATCCCCCTCAAAAAGTATTTCATAAAAAGAACAATAAGAGGAATAATCCTCCAGTTGTGAACAATTTTTGTCAAATATGAACTTTCTACATATTTTTGAATGTATTCTGAATTTCAAAAGAATTGACCTATAAGTGAGAACAATTTAATGGCTAAAAGTCTCATTTAAAAATTCATTCAATATTTATTAGTTATTTTCTACTGTATCTAAGTCTAATTTTTTCAAATTTGTATTTTGAATCTAAAATTTATTATTTGCAATTTTTAAATTAACCTTCAAAGTTGGCTAAAACATCATTTTCCTCAATAAAGCACAGATTTTTACATGAATTTTGGCCTAGAAGTCCTTCAGGACAGACCTGCCCCTATAAATAAAATTATGATATTATGTGAGAGATAGGATAGGGTAGGATGTGATGCAAGGAATACTTTAAAATAGAATTTTTTGTGGGGGCACCCCTGCCCTGGGATTGAGAATCACAAAAAAAAAAAAAAAAAACTACAAAAAAAAAGGAAACCTGTTTTTGATAACTTAATTGGTTTGTATTTATACGGACTGATTATATACCCCGGTAGTAGAGAAATTCATCAGGTCAGATCACTTGGTCTTGAAACCGAAGATATTCTATATGTAGTCATGGTTTAAATCCACCTGGCGTCACACTTTTACAGTGCTAAATTCTCACTTTTTTTCAAAACACTATTTTTATTTTTTTAAGAGGGATTTGTGTATTTTCCTTCGATTAGCATATTATGTCGGTCATGACTATGTTTGCTTGCATGAATAATCTGTGACATGAAGTGTAGCAAATGGGTTTTGCATGGAAATTTAAAAAATACTGTAACCAACATTTATTTGTGTGTGAGAAATATCCAAGAGTGTCACAATCTTCCTGAATAAGTGAATATTTCTTGCTACAAACCATTTATTTTACTGTTTACTTAATATGCAGAATGTTTTCAGATGTGAAAATTGATAGTCGTGGATGGATTTCAAACTGAAGACTCACGAATAAGTGAAGTCACAAAAAATATTTGGCTTACAGTATATAAAATAAATATTACATACTGTAAGAGTATCAATAAAATATGATATTTATTAAACAAAAATGAAGAATTTTGGAGATCTATGCAAATAATGCATGAAATCTTTTTTTGAAATTCAACAATGTGTACTCTATTCCATACACGACTATGTGTTTATGACAATTCTATTTCAGGTAGAAACAAGGCTTTGGAGACAGATCACCATGCCTAACCAAAGAAGACAATGTATGTAGAGTAGTTAATAACCAATAGAATATTTCATAGAGATTAAGATTAACATCTCTGACCAAGTATTTATTTACATATGTACCTTTCCCCTTTGCTTATTCTGGTGCACAATTCTAATTGCTGACCTGCACTTTTGCTACAAAAACAAAGTGTTTATTCATTATCACCATAATTATAATATGTATAACTACATATAACATGATGTAGGTCAACATATGTAAATGGAATTCATCTGTGGTAATTAAATAATAATAATATAAACAATCAAAACACTTATCACTGACACATTCACAGTTACTACTACTATGCTTTGCCTGCTATTTACATTGATCAGCATGAGTTTCATGATAGTAACAAAAATCGCAGAATATTGGTTTCCTTCCACTTTGAAATATAAGTAAACTTTCTCTAAACAGGCACAATAATTTACATACCATAGTCTTCCCACTGAATCGATGCTCCTTGTGTTCAAGAAAAAACTGCTATTCTGTAAAATCAAAGACTAGGCAAAATGAGAGACTATTCCTCTGTCAACAATGTATTGCATAAGTAGGGTTGGACACCGATACTTGGTAGCAGTACTGTACCGAAAAGTTCTTTCAAAATTACCGGTAAAATATCATTTCATTGAAAACTGGTACCAGTTTGGGTATTTAATCCTTTTCTTTATGCATTAAGTGCATTTGAGTTAATTCAACAAAACTGATATCGTTTCAAAAATACATGAGCACAAGATTGAATATTTTATAATGTTGTAAGATTACACTTATTAAGAATGAGGCATACTGGGCCTTGCTTTACAAGTTTCCTATTGCTTTATGACTTTCGTAAGTTTTCAGTTCATAATTGACGACTATAAAGTTAAAAAACAAGAGGCCCAAAGGCCTTGAATCTCTCTTCTGATAAACTGTACAACCTATCACTTCTATTTGAAGCCTCTAAATATCCTGAATACATGTATTTAGATAAAGCCTTGAAATTCCAAAGTTAGGTCATCATGACCTACATTTTAGATGAAACACTGAGTACCCAAGATGATTCTAAGCCAATTAGTACCTGAGAGTAGGTCAGCATGACCTACTCTCAGGTACTAATTGGCTTAGAATCATTTGTCATTCTCTGAGGACCAAAGATGCATCAACTAAGTTTGATGATTCTAAGCCAATTAATACCTAAAATATTTTAAAAATTATAACCATAAAATTTCAAAAGTAGATCACAGTGACCTACTTTTCAGAAAACATACTTTGAGGACCCAAGATGCATCAACTGACAGAGTTTGATGATTCTAAGCCAAAAACAAGAGGCCCAGGGGCCACATCGCTCACCTGAGCACTATGGCTAGGTAAAGCAGAAATCAGTTCAGTCTTGAAAGGTTGAAAAGTTTAAATATAAAAGTGGTTGGGTTGGGGGGTGGGGGGGGGGGGGGGGGGGAGGGGGGTTATGAATTGAACAAATTTGAATCTACATTATCTGAGGATGCTTCCATTTAAATATGACCAATCATGGCTTTGCTGTTCTTGAGAAGAAGAATTTTTAAAGATTTTTCCTATATATTCCTATGTAAAACTTTGATCGCCCATTGTGGCCCCACCTGACCCCCGGGGGTCATGATTTGAACAAACTTGAATCTACACTACCTGAGGATGCTACCATGTAAATATGACCAATCATGGCTTTGCTGTTCTTGAGAAGAAGAATTTTTAATGATTTTTCCTATATATTCCTATGTAAAACTTTGATCACCCATTGTGGCCCCACCTGACCCTTGGGGGTCATGATTTGAACAAACTTGAATCTACACTACCTGAGGATGCTACCATGTTAATATGACCAATCATGGCTTTGTTGTTCTTGAGAAGAAGAATTTTTAAAGATTTTTCCTATATATTCCTATGTAAAACTATGATCGCCCATTGTGGCCCCACCTGACCCCCGGGAGTCATGATTTGAACAAACTTGAATCTACACTATCTGAGGATGCTACCATGTAAATATGACCAATCATGGCTTTGCTGTTCTTGAGAAGTAGATTTTTAAAGATTTTTCCTATATATTCCTATCTAAAACTTTGATCGCCCATTGTGGCCCCACCTGACCCTCGGGAGTCATGAGTTGAACAAATTTGAATGTACACTATCTGAGGATGCTTCCATATAAATATGACCAATCATGGCTTTGTTGTTCTTGAGAAGAAGATTTTTAAAGATTTTTCCTATATATTCCTATCTAAAACTTTGATCACCCATTGTGGCCCCACCCGACCCCCGGGGGTCATGATTTGAACAAACTTGAATCTACACTATCTGAGGATGCTTCCATGTAAATATGACCAATCATGGCTTTGCTGTTCTTGAGAAGAAGAATTTTTAATGATTTTTCCTATATATTCCTATCTAAAACTTTGATCGCCCATTGTGGCCCCAACCGACCCCCGGGGGTCATGATTTGAACAAACTTGAATCTACACTATCTGAGGATGCTTCCATGTAAATATGACCAATCATGGCTTTGCTGTTCTTGAGAAGAAGATTTTTAATGATTTTTCCTATATATTCCTATCTAAAACTTTGATCGCCCATTGTGGCCCCACCCGACCCCCGGGGGTCATGAATTGAACAAACTTGAATCTACATTATCTGAGGATGCTACCATATAAATATGACCAATCATGGCTTTGCTGTTCTTGAGAAGAAGATTTTTAAAGATTTTTCCTATATATTCCTATGTAAAACTTTGATCACCCATTGTGGCCCCACCGACCCCCGGGGGTCATGATTTGAACAAACTTGAATCTACACTATCTGAGGATGCTACCATATAAATATGACCAATCATGGCTTTGTTGTTCTTGAGAAGAAGATTTTCAAAGATTTTTCCTATATATTCCTATATAAAACTTTGATCGCCTGTTGTGGCCCCACCCGACCCCCGGGGGTCATGATTTGAACAAACTTGAATCTACACTATCTGAGGATGCTACCACATAAATATGACCAATCATGGCTTTGCTGTTCTTGAGAAGAAGATTTTTAAAGATTTTTCCTATATATTCCTATGTAAAACTTTGATCGCCTGTTGTGGCCCCACCCGACCCCCGGGGGTCATGATTTGAACAAACTTGAATCTACACTACCTGAGGATGCTTCCACAAAAGTTTCATATTTTCAAGCACAGTGGTTCTTGAGAAGAAGATTTTTTAATGATGCCATTAATTTTTCACGAATTCTTAATTATCTCCCCTTGGAAGAAGGCGTGGCCCTTCATTTGAACAAACTTGAATCCCCTTTACCCAAGGATACTTTGTGGCAAGTTTGGTTGAACTTGGCCCAGTGGTTTTTGAGAAGAAGTCGAAAATGTGAAAAGTTTACAGACGGACAGACGGACAGACAGACGGACAGATGGACAGACGGACTACAGACAAAATGTGATCAGAAAAGCTCACTTGAGCCTTCGGCTCAGGTGAGCTAAAAAAGTAAACATATATCTTTGTACAATTGTGTTCTCCTTTGGTCACCTAATCCTAGGGGACTATGATAGTATATTCTTATCCACTGGCTGTGTGTGGGATAGCTCTTTTATCAAACCCACGACAGGAACTATTCCCCGAGGGCTTGCCCAAGGGGAATAGTTCCTGTCAAGGGTTTGATGAAAGAGCTATCCCACTCACAGCCAGTGGATAAGCGTTTTATTATACTGATGTATATCATAATTTCTAAGGGTTTGTATTACTTGACACTACAGTTTCACAGGCAAAACATGAAAAGAATAATTATTAAAGTTTTGAACAAGTATTTGGAATAAGATAACACTGCTAGAGTGAGCTGAAATCCTGATGACATCACAATGCAATTGAAGTCAGGATAACATCATCAGTCTATAGATTGATTATAGGAAATCAAAATTGGCGGCAAAAATTGCATGAAATTTTTCCGAGGGTGGGTAGCACAAACTTTACCCCGGGGTATAGCTTTTCTATCCGTGGAAATTTTCAGACTATACAAGATAGTTATTTTACCTTCTTAACTTTATATAGGAAACATTTTAACAGAAGTATAATAATAATAATAAATACATGTACATGTATATACGTGTATATTCACTCAGTAGGGTAGCTTTCATATGTTTTGTCTTTTCTTACCTCGTGTATTTTTGGTTTTTTTTAAAACCTTGCCTTATTTTACAATTTCTTAATCATTTCCCATTGAAAAAGGGAATGGCCCTTCATTTTACCAGATGTGAATCCCTTTCACCCAGAGGAAGATATGTGCCATATCTGGTAGAAATTGATCAAAGTTGTTCTGGATAATACATGCAAGTCAAAATTGTAAGAATTTTACTGCACTACAACGCATAGAAGAACAGAAAGACACTGAATACTCCTTGATTAGAAAACCTCACATGGACCTTTGGTTCAGGTTAACTATGAAGCTAAATAATAATAATAATTTTCTATACAAATTGAAAAAAATCAAATAAAGAAATACAAACCATTTTCTTGTAAAAACATTCCCACAGAATGTTCAGTATACCAGCTCTTGTGTCAGTGTGGAGATCTTGACACAAACCAACCACAAATCGAAGCTGACTCTCTGTTATGTTATCCTGAAATGTTAAATTAATTTAGTGATGCTTCTGTTGACCACATGGTGACAAGGAATTCATGTTTGTGAATCATGCAATTAAAAACCTTACCTTTGATAAACAGGATTTTAAAACAGTTGAAATAATCTCTTTCATCTTTTGACCTAAACTCTGAAAAAAGTATATCCAAATACTTGAGTTGAATATCCTCAGAGCTATTCCAGAAAATATTATCTAACGGAGATAAAATGTCATTCTTTTTTACTTTAAGTGGGGATTAGGGCTTGGGGTGGGGTGGTGTTGATTTCTCATATTCTAGAGGGTGAAGGTAGCTAATTAATTCACTCCTGATGATGCAAGGGAAGGGTTACTCTGTTTTATACAACAGGGTATTACCATCAAAAATGAATCCTACAAATTAATCAAACCTTACACAACAATCAATTTGAACTGAGTTTTTAATTGCCGTTTCATTTTCTTTTGAAGGATACTGAAGGGTTATCCAGCTTATCCTGCTAAAGCTGTGCAAAATTTACACGTACCGGTAATTGCAATAATATCAATACAATATCATAGTTTCTCGGCCCAAGTATATGGATTTTTTCCACACACTTGTAATAGTAAAACATTAATTTATTCCAGTAAAGACTGTTACACAGACATCCAGTGTAATAATTTTTCACAGAACTACATGTATATAAGTGTAAGTTTCACATTAAATGTTATTTTTTTCTTGGGTATGGGGTAGTGGTGGGGTGGTTGACAAAAAAAATATATTGATGACTGGTTTATTTCCAATTTTAATCTGTAAGATTGGTTGTTTGGCCCATATCAAATAATGTTTACTAAACCAACTTTATGCAGTGGCCAAAGAAAAATTAACTCACTAGATTTAGGCAACTCGCTAGATTCAGACAATCTGCCATTTCTGCTGAAATCAAAACATATGTTTTTTTTTTCTCATTTATTCTTGAAATCCAAACTCTTTTATCATGCGAACCTGTTGAATGCTGTGACCAGCCATTTTGGATATGTGAACCAGAATCCACAAACAGAATTCTCCAGTACTGTCAACAAAAAGTTCCCTTGGTGGATAATCGTAAACATCAGAGTCCATCTCTTCTGTAAATATCAATATAGTGGTATACATACGTAATTGTACAATCTATCGCAAAAAAGTGTTTATCATTTACCCATTTTCCATAAATGCCATATTTAAAATCAACTTAAAGCATACTGTAGATTCCTTATTTTACGCGAGTACTTAATATTGCGAAATGGCACAATGACGTCAAATCGCGGGAACAATAATTCGCGAATGGGTGATTTATCTAGAGATTTTTCATACATTAAAGCACCATAAAAATAAAAACGAGTAATTTTATTTCGCGAGTGGTGCTCCTGGCGTAATTACGCGATAATTTATTCCTCGCGTATATTTAGGAATCTACAGTATACAGTACATATTCAACAAATATGAAGGAATGTCCAGATTTAGTATCAACAGGCTATTGTATTCTTTTCATCATTTTATTCAAAAATGCATAAAATGATTTTCAAAAAGTCTATTTAACATGTAAGTAAGACCCGAGATTCTAACATCTGGCCCTAGAAAGATACAGTGTATACAGACAAGTTTGGCTAGTGTAGTGTATATCAACCAGAAGTCTTTGACAAGACTGTAGCTCTACTGGTTGTACTTATAAAGGAAGATAAAAGTAGCACTTGGACTTGAAACTTTGCAACAGCAATAAATAGAATAATGATCCTTGGTTAAGTCTCTTTTTGTGGCAAGATTTATTGCAATCGGACTAAAACTGTAGGAGGAGTAGCCTTTAAAATAATTTTACAGAAATTCCGATTAAGTAACCATGGTAACATCATTCAACAAAATCAAAAAACAATAATGACAATTATGTATCTCAGTGTAGTCTACTTGTATGCCATGTTATACTGAAATCAGACAAAAAGTGTAGGAGGAGTAGCGTTTTGAAGGTATTTCAAGAAATTTCTATTTCTAGTATCCATGGCATCACTGTTCATTGAAATCCAAAACTGGTATAGAGAATTACGTATCTTAGTGTAGTCTACTTGTGTGCCAAGTTATACTAAAATCAGACCAAAACTGTAGGAGGAGTAGTGTTTTGAAAGTATTTTCAAGAAATTTCTATTTTTAGTAACCATGGCAACATCGTTCATTGAAATCAAAAACTGATACACAGAATTATGTATCTTATTATAGTCTACTTGAGTGCTAAGTTATATTGAAATCAGATCCAAACTGTAGGAGTAGAGATTTGAAAGTTTTCACAGAAATTTCTATTTTTAGTAACCATGGCAACACTGTTCATTGAAATCAAAAACTGATAAACAGAATTATGTATCTTAGTATAGTCTACTTGTGTGCCAAGTTATACTGATATCAGGCCAAAACTGTAGGAGGAGTAGCGTTTTGAAAGTATTTCCAGAAATCTCTATTTTTTGTAACCATGGCAACACCATTCATTGAAATCAAAAACTGATACACAGAATTACAATGTATGTATCTTAGTGTAGTCTACTTGTGTGTCAAGTTATATTGAAATCAGACCAAAACTGTAGGAGGAGTAGCGTTTCGAAAAATTGTTTACAGACGGACAGACAGCTAGACGGACGGACGACGGACACCTCACTATCACATAAGCTCTTCTGGTCTCTGAACAGTAGAGCTAAAAATCAACAGCAAACATACATGTACAGTGTTACCTTGTTATATTGCCATCCTCGCTTATTGCAAGGAATTCTCCAAGAACGGATTTCCCCATGTTAATACACCCGTTATATTGCAACCCCCGCTTATTGCCATCCGCCACTGGTTTTTGGTAACAAAAGGTCAAATTATATGAAGAAAACCCTCGATAACAATGCCAATTATCTATTCGTGCTTTCACAGTGTTTGTGGTGAAGCGTGACTGACTGAACAAGGAATTCAATTAAAAATTATAAATTAAAATTAAAAATAATTTTTGTATAAAACTAAAATTGGCAGTGTCTTTGGTGTTGTTTTTATAAGATAGCAGTATTATTTCATCACAGTAATGGGAAAGTCAGGGAAGAGAAGTCATATAAAGTTTATATTACGAAAGAAAAAGCCCCAAACAATTGTACATTTTATTTAACTATAAATCGATGATTGTTTCTTAGCACAGATAATGCACTAAGCCATAATAAATGCAAACATTCATTTTTCCCCATTAGATCAGGAAGCCGTTCTATCAATCAAAAGGAAACCCCATCTCTATTTTTAGACTATTATTATTCCGCCCGTGAAAATAGCATAGGTTCCCATTACCTTTGAATCATGCAGTCATAAAGTGTTGGACACATAATGGGTTGATTGATAAATATCAAAACAGAATAGGAAGAGAAAGTATTCAGGTACTAGCAAACATGAGAATACATGTATATTACAACGGGTTTATGAAGATTTTGACATGTAACCTGACACGTGACTTTCCTTTCGACAGTCATGATGCTTAACCAGCAGAAATTTTTATATTCTTGAGATGGTGAAATAATCCACTTCCGATTCAGATGAAATTGTCGATAAACCTCAAAAACTTTTTTTATACTGTACCGAGAGACTATAACTGCTATTAACACTGTGATCATTGGGTTGTTTAATTCATGGGCCATATGACAGAAGAGCAAAAGTGCAGGAAATGGTTAAGTGGTTCAATATGCTGACATTTTCCTTTCATTTAGTCAAAATTCTTGTAAGCCAATAAATTAATGTCTTTTATACTAAAGAAATGAAAGCTGCGCTTAATTGTGCATGTATGTACACACATACACAAGCATGACATTTGACTGTAACTGAAATAAATTGCATATTCATTTGTTTTGGTTTGCTTGAGCTCAATGTATTGTAATTTAATATGACAGAATTCGTTATATTGCCACCCTCACTTTAATGCCAAAATCTGCCATGGACAAAAGTTGGCAATATACTGAGGTAGCACTGTATATGCATGTACATTGTTAGAATGTAGTCTATGGTCAAATAACCAATTGCATTTTTTCTTACAGTGATTTATCAGTACCTTTTCAGGGGCCGAAATTCGGCCCCATTCCCAATTGAAAATGAGCTAATTTTTTCCCAATTTGGTTATATTTTTCCCAATTGGTGAACAATGCTTTTATATTCAATTTTCTTGGAAAAACACAGTGTAAAATTGTCAGATTGTCTGTAATTTTCATCTATTTAACTCATTTAGCAAAGCTGCAGTCATAACACGTTTAACAACACTGTAAAAACATCACCAACTTTTAATCCGAATTTCCTCCGTTTTTCTGAAAATGGTGATATGGTGAAATTGTATAGATTTATTAAGTTATTTCCACCTACTCAAATGATCTACGAATGAATGGTAAGGACTGTAGGCATTATTTCAGATAGAAAAATATATTTTCAATGTTTTAATACATATCAAAAGAGGATTTTGAGAAAATGTGTACTTTAGTATAATTTTTTGCAGGAGGTTTATATTTTCCAGAAACAGATTCTATAATGACCTAAATTGAAATCTCATACACACATGTACTACCCTAAGTTGTATAGGTAAATACTTTATACTCATTGAAGTAAATTTTACTTTTATTAGTCTATTATTCATAATTGATCTTGTATACTGAAATTGGATCATATTTTATTGTCTGTTTGGTTGCCCAGATTAGAGTTCATGCTGAAATGTTAAATGAATTACACTTGAATACATGATTTAAGCAACATTTTTAATTTTTCCCAATTTCTTCAAATAGCCGAGTTTTTTCCCAATTCCCCAAAAATGGCATTTCCCAAAATAGGCTGATAAATCCCTGTCTTACCATCTCCACTCGCAGGATCAGGTTGTTGAAGAATTCTTCTGATAATATCAAACAGAAGCTCATAAAAGGACTGAAACAAAATACATGTAAATTATCTCTATATGACATATGCTTTTGATGAAGCATACATGTGTAAAGTTGGAGGTATGGGGATATACATTTAAGTTCTAGTTTCATAGTTTTTCCCTCTAAAAATCCTTATTTTCTAATTATTCTATTCCTTTCTTCAATCTGAACTTCATAATGCTATATTTTGTAATTTTTAATACTTATAAACCTATATTAGATATACATGTACTTATCTTCAAGTACTGACCTCTTCCTTGCTTTTCTGATGCACATGATCTACCAACATTTTGATATGTTTCCACACTTCTAACAAACAGGGACACACAAAAGGAGATTTTGTCTGTAGTTCTTGGAGAGAGGACTGAAATGATTGAAGAAAAGCTTAAATATTACCAACCTGATCACAGATATTAGGATTTCAAACCTTCATTTAAATTTCTTTTTACAGCTGTAATTGCAATTAAACTATTGTGATGCAAGAAGATAAAAGACAGCTAAATAGATAAATTATTAGTCTGTGAGGAATGAATAGAGTGATTCAAAAAGTGTAAAATCACAGAAGAAAAACATCAACTCCTACTGGAATGGACTTCCTGAATTACAGCTTACATAGCCAATGTTTTATGGTACTGAGATACATGTATATATACAATGTATCAGGAACTGAAATGTAGTTGAAGTAGATAATCATATAAAATTGACATTAAACTCTGCAACTGTGATGTGCACTTAGTCTATTCTGTTATTCCTCCTTAACCTTTTGAAAAAAATAATTTTTTATCATTGTAAAGAAAATTTTCACATTTCGTCAATTTTTTAACCACTTTTTATGTGAGTGGATTTTTTTTGAAAATGAAAAGTTTATGCCAATTAAAGTACGGGTTTTAAAGAAAATGAATGTTAGAACAATTTTGATACATATATGTCATATGATGCATATGCTATAAATAATTTCCATCTTTGTCAAAGGTGCCAAATTCAAATGTTGCAACTGTATGTTCCTCTTCTTAATGTATTAAGAACACCAATATTCTGAATTGAATTGTGAAATTCAGCATCTTCATCAGTTCCAGACTTAGCTATTGACCTAACATACCTGTTTAAACAGTTTCTTGGACAGCATAATAAGCTCCCACACCAACAGATGAACCATTGAGTCAAAGCTTGAACCAGAGTTTGCGTACTGATTTCCCAGTGCACATCGTTTCGGGAACCAGTTGCTAGTGAAATCTTTAGAAATAAAGCAGTCAAAGGTATCATTTATGAAAAAAACCTTCAAACCTAATTTTCACCTTCTTTGACTACTTCCATTCCTTTTATATTACACACACACACACAGTCTTATTCAAGAGACTAATTTAAAGCAACTATTATTTGTAATAAATTCTATTTAAGATTTATCATTTTGAAATCCATCAACCGCTACAATGTATTAAGTTTTGTGAAAGAGCGAGGGAACATCCAATGGTTTGTGGCTACAAATACATGTAATAACTCACATGTAATAGTCACTATAGTCAGGGATATTTCTTGCATGCAAATAGAAGTTCATTTACAGTATTCAGGATCATGAAGGGATAGTATTCACAAACTTGATCAAATTAAGACATTTAATTAATGGTTCTAATATATTCATGAAATGACGTATTGTTTCTACCTGTTGATTTGATTTCTATTATGTGAAGAACTTTAAGAACACCAATATAAACATCCAGAAAAGAGTGGAAATTGTTGACTTCATGATCACTGCAGTCTGACTATAAATAAAAATATCAGAAAATTAGTACTGGATTTTTAAAATTTCTGTGAAATTTATTGTGAAATACATCTGTCTGTCATTATTCATTGAAGATGCATATTTATTAGACAAGTGCCAATTAAATTCCAAAAAAAAAAATATTGACCAGCTGAAAAAATTCAATGTAAACTTGAAATATCCATCAATTTAGTTACCTTGCTTTTCAGTTTGTCAAATGTACATGTTTATCAATAGGAAGTAATTAACATTGTCTATTACCTGATTCATTCAGCTTTCTTACATATCAGGAATATATCAGTCAAATTAGAATCAGTAAGTTAAGCCAGATTGGGGTATTAATGTTATGTATCAATGGTTATATAACCTCTGCAAATAATTTTTATGCATTTTTTTCCTCATCTGAATGTACATTTTAGGTTATATGCCCTAGATAGCTGTGTTGTGAAGGGTTGAAAGTATAGATAAACAAGAGTCTCTTCTGATATATTGCACAACAGTGTCACTGTAACCTACATTGGAATTGACAAAACAGAGGTGGGATCAGGTGACATGGAGGAGTAAGCATCCCATGCCAACCAGTCATACCTACTGTGTGCTCCTTGTCATGATTGAGTAAACAGCAAAATCCATAGTCAATTCTGTGTGAAAATTTGTATGAAACATGTCAGTCAACATTCAACCTAACGACAGATTGAATTTGCAAACAAGGTCATTATATCTATCATAGAAATTGCAAAATGTTGACTTTAAACAGGATTGTTGATATCCTTATATCATCAACTTCTTTGTCAATAGCCTGTCTTGTTTTAGAAATTCTTCATATGTAGTGCATGCTCTTGGGTATCGAATCAACTTTGAGAGAGACTCCATATGTAGCTGCTGATAATGGTACATTCAATTGCTAGATAAATAAGGGAAGTTGATGATAGAAAACAGGGTTTTCAAATGAATTTGAAGTGAAGAGGTGAATTTATTCATTTGAAGAGGCTGTTTTAGAATTACTTCCAATAGTCTGGAATTTGAAGTGTCAAATTCTGGTCATCGAAACAGTGATAAATCACCTCATGCCTCCCCTTATTGAAATAGTTGGTCATCACATTTATCATAAAGTCTAGTTGTCAGTTTGCCATCAATGTCTTTCTCTAGTAAAACATCCAAATATGAAACAGATGTGTCAGACTCTGTAGTGTCTATTATTTTGCGTTCAGTGGGATATATCGAATCAACATAGGAATGCAACTGAATATTGTTAATTGATTAAACATCTTCAATATATTTAAATGTTGAATTGAAAGCTAGAGCAAGAGACTTCTTCTTTTCATGTAGAAGATTTTGCATAAATTCTGCTTCATATGAATACAAAAACAGGTCTGCTAGCTAGTAACGGGGCACAATTAGTACTCAGGGAATTCCAACAGATTGTTGGAAGACCTGGTCTCCGAAAACCACACAGATATTGTTCAATAATGAGAAACTCTAGCATCTTTTTTAATATCAAACCTTGGAGTACTTGTGTGTAGAATCAGAGGGTTTTTTTAAAAACAAAATAAGTTTGAAGATGACCAATGACAAGGTATGCAAATTTATAAGTTCTATTTTTACTGAAGAAACAGAGTCTATGATGTCAAAAAGCCTGGACTATAATTTATGGTGGGGAATGGTTGAATAAAGTGTTGAAAATTAAGTCATACTTTTGATGCTATTGATTTTGGTAAAATCTGGTGATTCCAAATTTTCTAAAAGTTCCTTGAGGTTTTTAAGCATCCACATCTCATTATAATGTCACTTCTAGAATACTTTGTGGCAAAAGTATATATATATTCTGATTTTATGTTTTACCAAAGAATAAATCCCTTAGATTGCAGGCTTATCCTCTGTTTGCATCTAAATGAACCATCACTATCTCAAAATTCATTTCTTATATAAAAGCACTAAAATTTTCAATCTCCTTGCACATGTTGCAATTTTGGAAAAAAGAGAAGTCAATTTTCAGTTGTGACGGGGTTCTTTTATTGGACCTGCCAGAAATGGATATTTCAAAGCAAGACTTTACAATAACACTTAAAGACTTTAAACATATTCATTTGCAGAGGGTATAACAAGCCAGAGTCGTTAATTTCCTTTTCTCTTTGCTAACAGAAAAGAGGAAAAAATTAGTTAAAACAGAATCAATAGTAGATCATCAGAACCACTTCAAGATTTTGCTTTATTAAAGGTAGACAATAGTAGATAGAGAAAAAGGAACAAAAAGCAGTAAAAATGATACAATGTAACAAACTACGGACTTACTAGTTCCCGTTCAAATTCTGACAGTCTGTCACTGTACAGTAGAATACCATGGATCTCCTTCACCAAGTCCTCATATACATTTCTGCTGGCACCACTATTAAAAACCATAAAGTTTAGGCATTTTCTAATTCAAAAAGCCTGGTAAAGCAAGAATATCTAACCTATTTAGAATCCATTCTGAATTCAGTGTAATCCAATTTTCATGTACATGTGCATATGTCTTGAATGATCACAATACTCAATGATAATTTTTTTAGTGAATGTATGAAGATGGAACAAAGCAATTTTTTTTTAAATTCATTTCAAGTCATTAAAGGAGAAATACTGTATAGGAAGAATTTTTATCTAGAATTCCATTAGGCATTTATTGCAAAAAAGCTGAGATTGTCATTTTTGAATATTGCAAATAATTCATTTTCTATCTGTGGTAATAGTTACATTTCATGGCATTACAAAATTGCTTTAATTACTTCATTAAATAAACAAGAGGCCCATGTGCCACATCACTCACCTGAGCACTGTGGCTAGGAAAAAAGCAAAAATCAGTTCAGTATTGAAAAGCTTAAATGCATAAGTGGTCCAGACCTACCCCTAAAAAGGGAGGGGGTATGATTTGAACAAAATTGAATCTACACTAACTAAGGATGCTTACATGTTTCTTTGACTAATTGTGGCTTTTTTCCCTACAAGTTTGAACTTTCATTGTGGTTCCACCCTACCCCTCGGGTCATGATTTGAAACAAATCTGAATCAAAACTATCTGAGGATACTTCCCTACAACTATGACCAACCATGGCTTTGTTGTTCTTGAGAAGACCTTTAAGAAAAAATTCTTATGTATTCCTATACTCCTATATAAAACTTTGATTGTCCATTGACGCCCCACCCTAACCCCCGAGGGTCATCATTTGAACAAACTTGAATCTACACTACCTGAGGATGCTTCCAAATGAATAAGATTAATCATGGTTTTGCTGTTCTTGAGAAGAAGATTTTGAAAGATTTTTCCTATTTACTCCTATGTTAAACTTTGATCGTCCATTGTGGCCCCACCCTACCCCCGGGGGTCATGATTTGAACAAACTTGAATCTACACTACCTGAGGATGCTTCCATATAAATATGACCAATCATGGCTTTGCTGTTCTTGAGAAGATTTTGAAAGATTTTTCCTATTTACTCCTATGTAAAACTTTGATCGTCCATTGTGGCCCCATCCTACCACCCCCAGGGGTCATGATTTGAACAAACTTCAATCTGCACTATCGGAGGATGATTCCACATGAGTTTCATCTTTCCTGGCCAGGTGGTTCTTGAGAAGAAGATTTTTAAAAGATGCCATTAATTTTTCACTAATTTGTAATTATCTCCCCTTGGAAGAGGGCGTGGCTCTTCATTTGAAGAAACTTGAATCCCCTTCACCCAGGAATACTCTGTGCCAAGTTTGGTTGAAATTGGCACAGTGGTTCTGGAGAAGAAGATGAAATTGTGAAAAGTTAATGACAACAACGAGGATGACAGACAGCGGATAAATTTTGATCAGCTGAAAAGCTCACTTGAGCCTTCGGCTCAGATGAGCTAAAAATAGTAGCCGACTTTTAAAGACAAATAGCTAAATATATATGTCTTGCTAAAAATTCCACTTATACAGAATGGGACCTTTTAAACAAACCTTGCAATAAAGTACTTGATAAATTCCAAAAACTTAACAATGTCCTGACGGTATTCTGCCTTGCTTTTGGCATCTAAAAAGAAAGCTTTTAAAGTTTCTAAATGTCACAAATTACTGCATAAATCGCAAAATAGTGCACTACACAAAAATACCAAAATCATAAAGATAACATAAATGCATAAGTATTATATTAATGAAAATTTATTAACAAAAGATCTCAAGTGTTCAATTATGACACTGTTCTGAAAAAAAGTGAAACTTGCTAGAAGACCAAACTATTGTGTCAAAGAAAACCAATTTTTAATTCTACTCTTACCTGAATCTATTTGCAGGGTTTAACACTAATGTTAGTCTGTAAGTCTCAGACTAATACATTTTCATTCAGACTAATAAAATATGTTGCTAATCAGTCCAACTGGACAAACAAAAATTCCTTGTAAACAATATGAATAAATTATCGATGTCCGATTGTCAACAACTTTTAAAGTAAGTACTGCAAAGTACTGGTAAATAAAGATAGCTATTCTTTCCATATATCTATATACCTATAGATTTTTCTTACCCTAGAATACTTTTTTGTTCAATTTTCAATTAGAAAAAGAATAATTGGTGCTTTCACACAGTTCCTGGCTGAGGAGTGGATATCCCTAGCCACTGAAGTGCAAAATGTGTTTAGGTGTTAAACGAATTATGTAGGAATTGTCTTTGGGAGCAAAATGTTTCATTACCATACATTTTGAATTTGTCCTACGAGTGGATCTTGAAGACTCTTTTGAAATAAAACTTGTCTCAGAAGAAGAAAGTGAACTAATTTCAGGTGAACATGTTTTTTTGTTTGTATCTCAAAGTACCTACCTGTGATTACGAAAACAACAGAACTGATTATGTGGAATGTACAAGCATGTACATAACATTTGAAAGAAGGTATTAATAATGTTATATTGAAGATTGTTCACTGACTTTAAATTAAAAATAAAGTAACTAAAACAAATATGCAATTGATATTACAGTTCATTTGAGTGTGTATATTTACAGTTTATTTGAGTGTGTTACTAATTGGACTAAACCACTTTTGAGATAATTAGGAAAGTAAAAATATTAGGAAAACAGTGAATTGTTGCTTTAGTGTTATATATGTGACATGTATATAAAAAATGTAAAAAAAATTATACATTCTAAAGGTCAAGAATCAGGTTATAAGAGCAGACATTTTATTCAAAAGAAGCCATCTCACCCATTTAATAGAAATTCCAAAAGGAAAGAAATAAGAAATAATTGATTGTGTCCCTTCTTTCATAGAAGACAAATGGACTAATCAAGTAGTATAGAAATGCAGAAAAAGATTACAATGACATGTCTGTATAGGGAATTACATGGAAAAGTTGCATGCAAAAAATTAAAGGAATTAAAGGATTAAAACACCAAGATTTTGCATCAGTAACATGATCATTTCTTCTGCTACCTGTTGTTGTTCAAATCAAAGCAACAAATTCTGATGTAAAATCTGTTTGCACACAACTTGGTTGGCTAGCTTTCAACCCACTGTTTTAATTTGCATCAAGGAAAAATTAATCTTTAACCTGCCTGATGCTCATGTTGTCAGGCAATAATTTGGGCTTAGAGGATCAAATAAATATGGCTCAAATAATTTGTATGGACAATCTAAGAAATTAATATAAGCATTTCAAAAACCAGATCTGGCTTTGCTACTATATGAACTCACCAAATGTGGTATCAGGACTGCTAATGATATTCATCCACTGCCTATTAAGTATTAACAAGAATGAATTAGCATGATACATGTCCATGCAGACTTTTTATGCAGTTCTTACAAGTGTTATTTATTTTATTCTAGCATCAATTAGTTCATGATCAGCCCTGGAGCTTGGAAACATGAAATACCTATTTGCAACAAAAATTCATTTCTTTTCATACAAAAATAGATATTTACTTCTTTTTTTATCAAAGATTTGGGGGCATATAGGTTTTGCTCTGTCTGTCTATCTGTCTGTTTGTCAACAAAAACTTAAAACCTTGCCCATAACTTTTAATCAGTAAGAGCTAGGGCTTTTATGCTTTACATGTGTATTCCTTGTGACAAGATCTTTCTTGAAGTAGAAACATACTTGACCTTGATCTTGGAGTTTGACCCACTTTTGCAAAATTTTACCAAACTTTAACCTTGGCCAAAACTTTTGAACAGTTGGTGCTAGAGCTCTCATACTTCACATGAGTATTCCTTTTGACAAAACATTCTCTTGGGTACCAACAATTTTGACCTTTTGACATTGACTTTGGAGTTTCACCTACCAGTACTTTTGAAAAACTGAAGCTTTGATCATAACTTTTGAAAGGTTGATGCAAGGGCTGTCATATTTCACAGGTGTATTTCCTTGTGACAAGACCTTTCATTTGGTAGCAACAATTTTGACATTTTGACCTTGAACTTGACATTTAACTTGCATTTGAGAAACTTTAATCTTCGCCATGAGCTGCCATACAGGGGCATCGGTGTTTCTCAAACACATCTTGTTATATCTGAAGTTACAAAATTTTTTAGGTTTACGGAGCAATGCAAAATGGAATAAAGAGATAACTGTAATTAAAACACAATCTTTTTTTACCCGACCATTATCATGATCATCTCTTAGTTCTAATCTATGCAAAGAATACAGGAAAAATCTTGATTTTAGCAATCCTCACCTATATCTATAGTTGGATGTTACTTTTAGTAAATTAATTTTTCTACTAATTTTATATACTTTTGCTACACATAATGTACAAACATGACAAAAGGGATTATCTTTTTTTCCAGCCTTACATCTACAAAGGTACTTGTATTCAATTAGAAAATTTACCTCATCAAAATAAATGCACTATTCCTGTTCTTCTGTTGAAAATGGCCTTTTACAAAAACTTGATCAAATAGCTCCATTGTGTGTGGAACACTGGGTAATGATTCACTTGTAAGACACTTTAAATATCTGAAAATAATTCTAAAATCATTTTTTTTCAAAATGTTTTCTTCCCGTCTCAGAAAGTGTGCTTTAACAATGCTACACAAAAGTGCTGCATTCTGTATAAAGTCTTATCGAAACAAGCTTGCTGCCTCTATTACAAATTTGTTACAGAATTAAAACCATCAAAATTGAATTACATTTATTATGTCAACAGATTTTCTTAAAAACTGATGACACACTGCTACTGCTAAACATCAATATACATACTGATACAATGATATTCTTTTTCTTTTCCTATCGATTTTCTTATTACACATATTATGTACATTTACTGAAAATGCAGGAATATGGACTACATGCTAATATGAGAACTATCACATACCTCTTCAGCTCTGCTGTATTATTTTTGCAACTTGAACAATCATATGGTATAGCAAATTCAATGTCTGTTATGTCATCTGAAATGAAACAAAACAAATAAATTGAGGTTAAGCCATTTGCAGTGTTTAGCATTAATGTATATAATGTCATATCAATGCCATTCATTATGTCAAAATAATGAGTTTTCATATATTAGTATCCTAGATGAAAGAGTTTTTATTAGATGTTAATTTTGTCACTAATATTTCTGTAAAATCTGCTGATAATCGAAATGTGGCTTACAATGGTATTTTTGGAAACTGAAAAAATTTTGATTCACCCACCACCGATATCTAACACCCGTTAAATGCTGTTTCCAAATGTATACGACATCACAACCTCATAATATTAAGTAAAAATAATGAAATTCAAAATATCATTTTCCAACAATGTACAAAAAAGAATAATTTTGGTCATTGACAAGTAGTTTATGATATATTTAAAAAGTTTTTCTGGGACAACCCTCGTATTTCCAAAAACATTGTTCATCTTGCAAATCATGAATAATTTGTCATGAATTGAAGATTTAGCATACATACACATCAGTCTTGAGGCACTGTATATTGGCAATCTGATTAAAATACAGATCTCTACACAGTGCAAAGCTTTGCGCTATGTAGAGATCTGTATCAGATTGTGTATATTGGTCAGGTCTTTTCAGAAAGAATTTTACATTTATCATGTTTATTGAATTCATTTTCACTTACAAATATTTTAACATATTTACATTCTCTTGATTGCAGATATTTTCACATTGATTTATTTCAAGATTTCAATATATTCCATTTGGAATATTATAAATCATAAATCCAGTTTGGGCAGGTTTCTATATAGCTAGCCCAAGTATATCAATTCCTGGACTGGGTAAATATAACCTGGGTGATTCTTTCCAACCTAATTAGTATAATCTAACTGTGTCTCAGGACAAGCCCTCACCACAGTAAAAATTTGTCCTATATAGTTGCAATGTAGCAAATAGATAAGCTCCGAAATGATTTTGAATATTAAATACAAAAGGAGTTGCACTAAAATAACTACCAAATTACAAGCCTTTTTGAGCTTGTACATGCCTTTAATCCTAAAAAATAATCCACATAATGACAAAAATTCAACACTTCTCAAGTTTTTTCTCACTTTGAATTTACACTCCATGTTTTCATTTGGAACTCTCTGGATTATTTATAATAAACATGTAGATTAGAGTTATCTATTCCTGTTTATTTTGCTACACGGCCGACATTTGGAATGATTTCTCTTGTTAAACCAGATGCTTAGGGTAGGACAGTTATCATTTTAATCAGTCAGGGGCGAGACTGAAATCCATCATTCTGAAAAATGATGGGTAATCTTTATGTTTACTACCAGTGGTAATTACGTTTTTTGGTCATTTTTGTCAATATGACGAACTATCATCATATTTTTATTCTCAACTTTATTCTTCTATCCCATTATATAATAAATGAATTTTGAATTAATCCCTTAAAGAAGAGTGTTTACACGAGTTTCATTTCATCCGGGTCACTAATTTCTGTTGACCATGTGCATTAGAACCTCAGCATAAAAGGTGAAAGTTATTATTTCATTGGTAAAATGTCAAATTTTTGTAGAACTACTTCGCTACAGACATTTAGGGTATTCCAAAATACCTTTTACATTTTCACTGCAAACACTTTTATTTGCAAGTTTATAAATGGTTGTTTGGTATTAAAGGAAAGCCAATTCTATGAAAAATCAGATCTTCTTTATAGTTTATAGGGTGAGTCTATCTTCTATACAGCGACCTTGACAGGGTTATATTTACATCAACTTTTTAGTGTATTGCGGTTCACTTCCGGGTATTTTGAATCACCAGGTAAATGGGTTAATAATGGACAGATAACAATATTATAATTAATGAATTAGTTTGTATTGTTTACCAAAAGGCCCCAAAAATTAAAAGAATTATTTTCTTGTTGATTGTACTTGTTTATTTTAAAGTTATTAAAGCCCCCCCCCTCCCCCCTTGTAATCGCACTATAAGACAGCGTTCTCAGAAGCGGATCTTGCAGAAAAGCAATTACAAACAAAATAATGGTTCCAGAAATTACTCGACTGTAAATTGTTTCCTGTAAATATAATTATGTCATTTTTTTTTACCCGTGAGAATTTTTTGTTCCATGCAAAACAATTAACATTGAAAATGTAATACCTAATCACAATTCTACGAGAAGGGTACCAAAAAAAAGGTAATGATGATAATAAACAAATGTATGAAAAGGAATTTATTTAAACATTATATACTCTTATTTAGATATCACGATTATCAAGAATGACATACATCACTGCATAACTTGCACATACGCATACTTGAAGTTGTACATATAATGTGTACATACATGCATGTCCGTACTTGTATGATAAAAGGATCAACACAGATCAAGTGTATACCCGGGTTGGTTTTATTACCTCTTGCTTTGTCAAATCATTACTTTCATACCCCTTGCAATAAAGAAAAACTATGTTATAATAATATCTGACATAATTTACAAATTGTAGCTTGTGCAATTTATTTGGCTGTGGTCATGTCAAAATACCCCAAACTGTCGGGGGCTACAAATACAGCCATAACTAAAATATATATCTGAGGTGTTATCAAAAACAATTAATGCTCACGAAAGCTTATAAAATTGCCTTTGTATCAAAAACCTAATATGCAATGTTTCATCCACAAACAATGCCACGACATCTATGAGAAATACCATGCAACATTTCTACATGAACTTTTTCTTCGAAAAGGATAGCAAGTTAATGAATTAAATTATTGATTTTTTAATTAACACATTATGTTTACCTCTTTATTTTTTGTATGTTATATAAGTATAAATCATGCTGTTAATGACTGGTTGGTTGTCACACAGGTGCATGTGTCCTGCGAGGAGCAGCGATAAGGTATTACCGAGAGTCGGGAAATGCAGGATGATTCGGAATACCCTAAATGACTGTACTATTACATGGTTTTAACTCAATAATAACATACAGTACACTATCTTGCAATATACAAATGAGTAGAGAAATTCTCAACAACAAATTTAAACAATAAAAAATTAGTGCACCCCATAAAACAAGGGAGATATTTCAACGTGCCCAGACCCTCCATTTTGGTCAAATGAAGAAATACTGTATGCATCATTTTATCTTCTTTACTATTTTGTGCCAAAAAATTGACAAATAACTTTTCCAATCTTCTTTTTGCTTGTGAATTTGTCGCTGTCAATATAACCAGTATTGTAGTCAACTATATTTGAGAAATGAAGTTTGCTTACAGTGATTTTTTTCTACCCATTGGGAAAGGGTCCGGTACCGGTTCAATTGGGAAAAAAAGAATCGAAGTAGAAAAAAGGAGAATTTTCTGTCATTTAAACAAATGAAATGTATTTTGCGTTTATTTCAACCTCATAAGCTAATACTCTGTGTTTCAAAGAATATACAAGTATTATTGTTTTCAATATTAATGCTTGTTTTCACATTTTCATGCTTTTATTTGTCAAAATGTATTACACTACACTGTTTACACAACAGGTCCCGCCATATTACGATTAATCTCTACTTTCAATTTAAGCGGAAGTGAAACTATTAGTCAACTTGTACAATGTTTCATTTAAAAAGAAATACGATGTCATCGTAGTCTGTTGCTTGGCAGTTGAATTGGGAAATTTAAGTCTCAAAATTGGGAAAAATTAACGTTTTTTGGCATTGGGAATGGTACCGTTTATCGGTACCAGTTATATAAGGAAAAAAAACGCTGGCTTACAATGTTTTCTGCACTTTTTGCGGTTGGTGGATATAACATTTTTAAAGAGAGGTAACTCAATATGCTAGCAACATTAGAAATTTTTAGGACTTGTTTTTCATCATTTTCTAAAAAAAATGATGAGTTTTAATCATTTAAATACAATACTAATTTTAAGACTAGTATTTGTCATTTTCAGAATGCAGTTTTCAGTCTCACCCCTGACTGTTAAAGATAGAATGTTCTATCTAATCAAATGCATGCTCAGAATGTTTTATCTAATCAAATACATGCTCAGAATGTTCTATCTACTCGAATATACGCATGCATGATAAGATTTTTGCTGGTGTTAGGATTGGACCCCATTAAGCATATTAAGTCTTTGCAGGTTTAACTTTAACAGTTTAATCTTGGCTGTGATTTGGCTAGAGTTGGTTGCATATTTGAACTAAAGCCTTCAGCATAAGCCATATGTCGCACTTACCAGAATCTAATTCCCTTGGCGTTGTCAGTAAAATGTTTTCCTCCGAGATGAGAGGATAAAAACTTTCACTGTCATCAAATTCCATCATGTCGTTGAACCGATATGATTAAACAGCACTGTTTAATTAATTTTAACAATTTTGTGAACAAACGATTAATTAAATCTATACATCTAATGTCCCTAGTTTAGTTCATATCGCATCCATCTGCACGGCCATCAGCTCTATCATTCATTTCCTCAGTGGCAACCATACTATGATACTTTCATTTTCCCGCAAAAATAATTATAACTGTGAAAACCGATAATGGGAGAAACATTTTTTCCCGCAAAAACTCTGAAAGATGTACATTACGTAGATCTATAATAACAAACATATTAATCAAAATTTTTAAAAATGCCTGTAATTATATAAACCGCATATTTTATTTTTAAAATCAAAGTATTTCGTGGTGTATCCAAAAAATTAAGAACGGGGAGGGGGGGGGGGTCAATTTTTATGTGACAAGCAAAGCAATAAAGAAATGGGGATGAAGAAGGAAAGTAAGAAAGATTGAAATAACTTTAAAATCCTATTTCTTGGGGGGTGGGGGTGGGTGGGTGTAAGGTTATACCAGTTTAAACAAACATCATGTACAGGAGTAATAAAAAAAATCTCAAATTGCGAACGGGGTGGGGGGGGGGGGGGGATTGGATTAGTATATTCACAAACTTCATGCGCGGATCTAGAGGGGTTGGGGGATTTGGAATTTGCAGAGTTATTAAAAGTATATGCTGACGCAAATAAAGAATGACTTTGGACCGCCCCCCCCCTTCCTTGGAAAATGTGGATCCCACCACCCCCACCACGAAATAGGTTTATTTCAATTTTGGGAAACAGAAATACCGTTTTTTTTTTGGAGGGTGTGTGACTGGGGTGGAACCCCCCCTGGAAAAAAATTCCTGGATCCGCGCCTGAACTTTGACGTCACAATATACAGATAATTGCATTTCGGGAATACATATTGTTCATGGACAACTTTGCATTTCCAGAGGTAAGTTTTGAAACTCATGAAATTTTTTAAAAAATACAATATATTGAACATTTGGATTTCCAAAAGGCCGTTGCATGCAGCTGCAGAGGCTTCGATTTCAAAAGTTTTAAATAATCATTTCCATTTTAAAAGTCAAAGGTTTAGAAATTTAGTTGTTTTCTTTTTTGGTTGCAGATCTATACTTTTAATTTATACTTACTTTTCCTCGTACTTGGCTATAATTGTTGCAAAGCTGAAACTTTTCATGGTTCATGTAAAAAATAATCAGGATGAACCCACATTTAATTTAATATTAAATTAAAGAAGAGCTTAAGAACATTTGAGTTACCGTTTTCTTAGAGAGTTAAGGCAATCTGGATATATTTGTCTTATATGGAAAAAGAGTTTCCATATGTAGAGTTGGGTTTTTATTATTATTATTGAAAAAGGGAGTATAGATCTAGAACTCTTTAAATGTATTGTAGTTACCTAAAATATGAATTCATTTCTCAAATTTTAGGAGCCTATTATTATAGGTCCAATTCATTCACTAGACTTTTATTTTAAACAGCCAATGCTGGCATTATTCTGAAAGAGCCATAACTGCCTTGCAAACCACACGGTCGTCTCAAGAAGCCAGGAAGGATATCTCTTTTTTAGGTCATCTGAGTAAACTCAGGTGTTTCTATGGGAGGGGGGTGCATTATTTCATTATCATCTCTGCTCCTAGTTATGATGAGCAAGGGCGAGTAAATAATAGGTTCCAAAATTATGATTATCTTGACCCTGAGTAAAGGGTTCTGGTGTTAGGGTGGGGCTCTATTGATCATATAATGAAAATGCATTAATTCTTTTAAAATCTTCTCTCCCCCATTATATAAAGCAGATAAACTAATTGCATGGTTATGATGATCAAAGGTGCCTCTTCCAAAATTTCGAAATTTCTGGCCCCAGGGTGAGGGGGTCTGTGGGAGGAGGAGCTCTATAAATTATTTAGTGAGAGTGCATTATTTTCTTTGAAATGCTTCTTCTCTGCTCCTAGGTATTTTGCAGATAGGAACCAAGTATATAGTCATGATGATCAAGGGCGCCTCTTCCAAAATTGTGAATATCTTGACACCTGGGTCACGGATTCTGATGTTAGGGTGGGGCTCTATTGATCATGTAGTGAAAAAGCACAAATTCTTTAAAAATCTTCTAATTCTCTCTCCCCCCCCCCCCCCCTTGTATATAAAGCAGACAGACTAGGTGCATGGCTATGATGATCAAGGGTGCCTCGTACAAGATTGTGAGGGGTTCTCCGGTAAAAAGGGGGGGGGGGCTCTATTAATTATATAGTGAAAGTGCACTATTTCTTTTAAAATCTTCTCTGCTCCTAGTTATGATGAGCAAGGGCGGTTCTTCCAAAATTATGAATATCTTGGCCCCTGGGTCAAGGGTTCTGGTGTTAGAGTGGGGCTCTATTGATCATGAAAATGCATTAATTCATATAGTGAAAATGCACAAATTCTTTCAAAATCTTCTTCTCTCCCTCATTATATAAAGCAGATAAAATAATTGCATGATTATGATAATCAATGGTGCCTCTTACAAGATTGTGAAATTTCTGGCCCCAGCCTGAAGGGTTCTCCGGGAAAGGGGAGCTCTATTTATTCTATAGTGAAAGTGCATTATTTCTGCGAAAGTCTTCATTGTGCTCCTAGGTTTAAGCATATCAAACAAATATATTATAGTTATTATGAGCAAGGGCGCCTCTTCCAAAATTGTGAAATTTGTGGCCCCAGGGTCAGGGGTTCTGGTGTTTTACTGTAGGGCGGGGCTCTATTGATTATGTAGTGAAAATGCATTATTTCTTTGAAATCTACTCTGTCCCTGGGTATTGAGCAGATAAACGAAGTATATAGTTATGACGAGCAAAGGCAACTCCTTCAAAATTGTGATTATCTTGGCCCCTGGATCAGGGGCTTGGTATCAGGGTGGGGCTATATTGAATCTATAGTTAAAATGGATTATTTCCTTGAAAATCTTCTTCTCTGTTTTGGGGCATCTAGGAGGTAAATAGATTATATAAAGTAGTAATAAGCAGGAATGTTTTCACCTGATTTTTGAAATTCTGTACCCTTTGGGTAAAACAAGTCTCAAATGCAAGTAAAACTCCCAAGGTGAAGGTAAACAACTTAAAATTGTACCCAAAGCATAAAAACGGGGGCATAAAAAATTCAATTTTCTCCGAATGCCTGGATACCTATGGGTTTTTTTATCCTTAAATATATTTGTTGATTATTTCTTTGTCCCCGTAATCTTATAATAATAAGGTTTGGGGGTATATAGTTTTTGTTCTGTCCGCCCGTCTTTCTATCTGTGTGTTTGTCTGTTTGTTCTCAAAAATGTTTACCTTGTCCATAACTTTTGATTGGTTGGAGCAATGGCTTTCATATTTCACATGTGTATTCCTTGTGACAAAACCTTCCTTTGGGTACCAATATATTTGACCTCTTGACCTTGGATTTGACCCACTTTTGTAAAAATTTACCCAAATTTAACCTTGGCCATAACTATTGAACAGTTGGTGCTAGGCTTCCATATTTCACAAGTGTATTCATCGTGACAAGACCTTCCTTCGGATACCAACATTTTGACCTTTTGTCCTTGGAGTTTGACCTACTTTTGAAAAACTTCATCCTTGATCATAACTTTTGAATAGTTGGTGCAAGGGCTTTTATATTTTGCATGTGTATTTCTTATGACAAGGTTTTCCCCTGCATGCGTACCATTGATTTTGACCTTTTGATCTTGACCTTGGAGTTTGAACCACTTTAAGAAAACATTAACCTTGACCATAACTTTTGAATGGTTGGTGATTGGGCTTTTATATTTACGAGGTTTATCTATTGACAAGTCCTCTCTTTGGGTAACAACATTTTTTATCTCTTGACTTTGGAGTTCGACTTGCATCTGAGAAACTGCGCCATAAGCTGCCATACGGGGACATCAGTGTTTCACAAACACATCTTGTTCAATTAGAAAATGCATAGCTGGTGCTTTTATTCACGTTATTTGAGAATTATCATTTTCCCTATATAATATGATTAACTATAATGATGAACTTTAATAACAACATGGGTAAATACACGTAACTACGTGAAATCAAAGGCATTTCTGTGAGCAATTTCAATGACATAAAAGCTAAATTTCAGAACCCGAAAATCAGACTACCTTTAAAAAAGGAAATCATCTGTTTCTATTTACAGACACGCCTCCTCAATTCAAGACCAACTTACGTAATATCATTTGTGGACGAGTGTTATATTTTCATAGGTGCAACTATGTCATATTTAACAATCATTTACTATGTCCATTATTCTAATTTCGAAGCAAAGGCCATAGAGAGTCAATAAAAATAAAACAAGTAATTACATGTATGAATTTGCAAAATTAGAACTGTCTTTTCCCGAGATATTTTCGAAGTGTAACGTGTGTATTAGAACTTTTTGAAATTATATTTATTATAGCTAATAACAATGAAAACGTAGAAAAGATACACAAAGAAAAAAAAAGGCATAAATGGAATATGTTGGGTTCGAACTCGGAAACTTCATATTTACAATCCGAAAATCACACCACTATACCACAAGATCGGTGGTGTCGAATGGATAGATTTAAGACTGATTGCTAACTCTTCCAATATATAATATGATTGAATACACATTTCACCATTTTCAATATGAAAAAACCTTTAACCAAAATTATCTAGATGCAGTGAAGTGCAGTCGTATCCAAATAAAATTATTTATATGTTGTTTTTCTGCTTAAGGGTAGTCTTTGTCAATAGTTTGTCATCGTTGAATTGATTTGAACTTATTTTATTCTGTACTGAAACATAAATGGATTGGGCAGCAGGCAAAGTCTATATATAAGCCCTCATAAATTATACATAATACTACATCATATAGTTACAGATTCATATGACAAAATTGATTGGAAGTTAAGCAGAAAAAAGTGGGGAAAAAAGTTGTAAATGTTTGTCATCGTTTAAGTAAATACCTCAATATACCTGAATATTTACTAAATACTCCATAAAACCTCGATGATTTTCATTTTTATCAT